GGACGGAGGCCCCCCAAACCCTTTGTGCGTCATTTCGTCCGCGCACATTTTTCAGGGCAATCTCTATTGGGCTCAGGGCCATCTGTAAATTAGCTTAGATGGCCCACAGGGCCATCTAAGCTAATGTCATGCACTGCTTAACATCAGCTGGGGGGATTCAAATTAGGATACATACAGCAAGACAATCAACATTTAGAGCTGTCCCGAATACCATTTTTTGGGTGACTAACAAAATACAAGGATATTTAGTTAACATCATACATGCGAGAAAAAGCAGCAACATGTAACATTAGAGAACTTGGAACAAGGTAATGTTGCCTTTCACTGAAACGATCATCAATACAGCTCTTATTAATTGTCAAAAAAATAAGTAAGAAAGTGGCCTTCGCTGTTTTACAGAACCAAACGTTTTTTCTGATCTGTAACTCACACTATCACTGAGGAGAATATGTGACGGCCCCCAAGTCGAGTTGGGAGCCAATCACAGCCCAAAGAAACAATGTTATCCAATCAGAATCTGCTGTTCTGTCCAGATTTTCTCCTAAAATATTTAGTTTTCCCCTTCCTCCACACTAACCTCTATCAGCCAGAGGGATGCACATCAATATGTGAGCTTCTGTCTGCACAAACATCCCGGCACAAGCGTTCAGCTGCGTTCCACTCTGCCTCCATATTTTCAATTCAAATCAAGTTTATTTATATAACCCAAAATCACAAATCCTATTTGTCTCAGAGGGCTATTTAATGAAGCCGTTTGATCTGGCTACCGTCAATTAGGACGTGTTCCTCTTTGAGAGACTCTGTAAAGGCTCGCTGATTTTCTTTAGAGGAATGACCGGTTCTCCATGGGCTTGTGTTCAGAAACATCCAACGCAGTGGTGACATCCTACATCTTTAGATCGCAGCCATGCATATATCAAAATATATATGAAAAAGCAAATAGTGTTCTATTTAAGCCCATATGTAGATTTATTTTGGTAACATGACAAATCTGAAAACTATCCTTTATAATTTCCGTAAATCCAAGTTGGGCCTGTTTTGTCTGACTAGAACTCCAAAAAATAAAAGATATGCAATATCCAAAGATATGTTGCATAGTTTTTTGCTCATCGATAATCTTTTTTAGATAAAAACCGTGTAGCTTCACATGACTGCATTGATAAGTTTAAATAGAGCCACCGAATAGAGCAATACATCGCCAACCACGTTCACACTCATTGTGTCTTTTAAATGCCTTATTACTTATTTATAATTATGACCTTCCTTTCTCAAATCATTGTCACTGGCTGTATGGAACAGTTTGGCCTTCAGTGTAGTGGGTGTGTAAAAACACCCATGAAGAAGAGAAACCAAATGGCAACAGGCGGCATCACCCTTTGGCTGAATTCATTAAAGAATCAGCTCATTCTGCTGACTGATGTATATTTCATGAACAGTTGCTGTCATCCTGAGGGGACGAGATGAAAACCTTTTTCATCTAAAAAGCTAAATGGATACTCGGAGAATCATCTATGACTGCTTTCTGGTGAAGACCTTTTGCTGGAGCAAATATCTCAACAAATGCAAGAAACTGGGCAGCTTGTATTGCAGTAGAAGTGGTTTGAAGAGGAGGTGGGGGTATAATGCGTGAGATGGGTAGACGCTCTTCCTTGCTGTCCTGCTGGCATCTCATTGTATTCCTTAACAGACTCTTATTGTAGCATCAAGTGATGCAGGATTGATTTCCCACACATCATAAAGAACCATGCCAGGGTGTTAGCATATTTTTGCCAATTTACAAAAACCAAGCGTTATCTTGGTTACTGCAGACTGTTTTCAGAAGCATTTAAGAGCTTTCAATATTGCTACCTGCCTTCTCTGCAGCCATTAGGACTTCTCGTTCCAGTACACTACTACAATTCATTTGGAGGTATTTTAAAGTCGCTGAGTGGAGAGAATCCATCATGTCTGCTTTTATTGTTGGCAAAGTAATGCTGCTTTCAGTGCTGAGTCATTTGTGCTACATAAGCAACATCAATAACAGGATGTTTATGTTGAAGTGGTTTCCATATGTAGAGTTCACTTTGGTGACCCCCTCCTAAATGGATTTTCTCACACACACAATGGTTTTTTAGGGTGTTTTTGAATGTATTATTCCTTCATTTCCTTTGGTTAAATGCAGTTAAAGCTGGAGAATGGTAAAACAACATTCAGGCTCTTGTGTGTATGGGACAGTGTTTCCGCCAGACCAGGGCTGAGAGGGCGTCGAGAGAAGGGGGTGGGGGGGGTTGGTTGAATTTTGACTTGAGCCGTCCCCCTATAGATACGGCTCTCCTGATCAGCATTTATAGAGTGCCACAGTGACGCGTCCTAAAACCCGGAAGTAAGTTAGCATTTTTACCACGTCAGGTTCCTTCGACAAAAAGCAATGGGATTTCTCCATAGGGTTTTGGAAAATAGCTCCAAATAAGGTCTGTGGTTGAGACACATTGAAGAGACGGATCACGTTTTGTTCTACGACCTTAAATCCATCAGCAGTGACCCCTCTGGTGATTTTTGAAGAGTTTACGTGTCTAAAAAACGATGGTTGAAGTGGCTGAATAGGACTACAGAAGTTGTCCAGGCCGTTTTACGTCATTACACCGAACACGTAAAACACTCCCGCTAAGTTTGAAAGCAAGTACCTGCCTCCTGATAACTGTTCAAACAAACGCTTCAACTTGTACCATTTACAATCTGTATGTTTGAATATGGATCTTAAGTCGGCCTGACGTTGAAGCAGCGACCCTGCTGTAGTTCCTTTATAGCATGACGTTAGCATTTTGCTTCTTGCGACTATATTTATGCTTCGAAAATTATAAAAGTAGGATAGACATGTGGATATTATCCGGCTGAACAAAACGTGATCCGTCTCTTAAATGTGTTTCAACCACAGATCTTATTTCCAGCTATTTTCCAAAATCCTATGGAGAAATTGCATTGCTTTTTGTAGAATGAACCGGAAGGAGTTTACTTCCGGGTTTTAGGACGCGTCACTGCGGTTCTCTATTGAGAGCACCGATCGATCGGCAGAGTGAATATCGGCCGATATCGATCGGAGCATCCCTAACTGCAACCAACTATAATAAAATGTATTGATTAATCTGCTGATTAGTTCCTCTGATTCATTGTTTCGTCTATGAAAATGTCAGAAAATAGTTAAATAAAATAAAAAATCCATCGAAATTTGTTAAACTCTCAGGTGATGCCTTTAATGACTTGTTTTATAATCCAAATCTATTCACTTTATTATGATATAAAACAGACAAAAGGAGGAAAACACCATATCCGAGGCATTCAACATGAAAAATGTACTTTATCTGCTAATCAAGTAATCGTTTTAGCTCTAATAAAGAGGAAGCCATGTAACAAATAACGTTTTTAATTTTTGTAATGGATGGGAAGGGTGAGTTTTGCATTAAATAGGCTGAGACTTGCAAGAACACTGCTATGGTTATATGAACTTTCTTTATGTGTTTTTTCTTCAGGGCTCTCCTTTGATGGGAGTGTGAGTATTTGTGTACAGCAGGCGCCACAGACCACAGACCACAGCTCACTGCAGCAGCAGGCAGGGATCAGCCTGGGAGCTACAGCAGTGAGAGAGCCAGGTGATCTGAGCTGCTGCACCCAGGGAGGACTCCTCTGACTGGGCACCGCTCCACCATCCCTTCACAGCACGGTGGAGACAGTTAAGCGAGCTGTGGGCCTACTCTAAAGTAACAAATCAATCAACCTAAAAACATTTTTTATTCTAAAGCAATAAGCCAATCAAAATGTGTAATTGATCCATTCTGAATATTTAATATGGGGCTAATTTTAGGGTTCCATCATTTATTTTCCACTTCTGATGTGACATGTTTACTACTTCAAATGTTCAAAAAGCCCTTTATTTTTCTCATACTGCCTTCTTTTCACCCTCTGTCTGAAACCAGAGCCCAGTCTGCTCTGATTGGTTAGCTGGCCGGCTCTGTTGTGATTGGTTAGAGATGTCTCGCCTCTTAGCCTATCACGTACAATGTGTTGGAGCACTAGCCAATAGAAGTGTGAGTGTTACATAGTGATGTCACCATGGCAAATGTTTTTTCTTGGAATATCTGAAACTATAACTGTAAAGTAGGGCTGCTCAATTAATCGTATTTTAATCGCAATTACGATTTTGGCTTTCAACGATTACGAAAACAACGTAATCGAAATAAAGCGATTATTTATTTATTTAAATTATTTTTTGTATTGGTTTTTTAGTTGAATTATACCTAAAGTGCAGGGTAATCAACTGTTAAAAACATACTGTTCCATTTGATTTTTTTCAATAAATGGATGTTTTCAAAGTAGATGGATAATCATTTTTAATCGTGATATCAATTATTGACCCAAATAATCGAGATTATGATTTTTGCCATAATCGAGCTGTAAAGAAGTTTAAATTATTGTTAATGTTTACTAAAGTATTTCTGCTGTTCTCTGCTACTGGCCAATAAATACAAAGTATTCATTGTCATATTATAACCTTGTTAAATGTGTCGATATTTTTGTTAAAATTGCAGTATTATGAACATACTACTTGCAGCCTTTGCTGAGCAGCCTTCAATAATATACATAAATACATGTATATGTAAAACAGAGAACATTGCTTCCTTTTGTTGTTTTTAAAGTAGGAAACCAGTGAGGCTGGTATGAACAACCCTTCATATCGGAGAGGATGTTGCTCGCTCAGTTTAATGTATAGGTCTAGAAATGTATTGTCAACAGGTCATTCAAACTATTGTTTGGCAAGTGAGACTGAACGACAATGCACATACAGTCTGACTGACTTCCATGGCAATGCTTTATATGATCAGAGAGCTCATTGTGTGTTCTCCACAGTCCACACAGCAGCGCAATGTGTAGTATGTTCAAGGCTTTTCTGATGAGCAAGCATGACATAACACAAGAAGCCCATCATCACAAGAGGATACAACTAAGCTGAGAGAAAAGTGACTCACCACTACTGTACGCGTACGGGGACTCTGCAGATCCATCCTGCAGGCTGTCCAGGATCTCTCCTTTGCCCACATCGCTGTCTCCCACCAGGAGGAACTTGAGCAGGTAGTCGTAGCTTTTCACTGGGCTGCCCTGGCTGCCCATGGTGCATCCCGTCTGAGTCCAGGGGCTGAAGAGGAATGACTGTAAACTTCCCCCTTGTGTGTTGTTCTACACACTTGAACCAAAACAAAGGCTTGTTATGCCATGAACCGAATGTTGTGTCCACCAACTTGAAGTCTTTGTTATGCCTCTTTTTCGGTCTTAACTAAACAGTCTTCCAAATTCAGTCTTCCACCTTTTCAGATAACAAAAAGAGCTTCCAATCTCAAAGGAATGTCCTACTTGAAAAAGATAACATCCTTATTTCTGAAAATAAGTGCAAGCTGTATCCGGACGGGATAACTCTTTTTGGCTTGGTGGCATAAGTCTACGTAGAGAAGAAAAACATGCTTATTGCCTGGAATAATAATTATAATAAGCGTCTTTGCAAAGTATAGGAGCACATATCTTTGCGAATCATATATTTGTCTAGTTAGCAAAAAATCTAGCTAACCTGGAGGCTGTGTTTTTATTCCCATTTAAGAAAAGCTCTGTGGTGAACAACAAGCTATCCCCTGCCAGAGAGCTAGTTAGCTTAGCAGTTAGCAGTTATCAAACACGGTAGATATTAGAAGACACTGACACTCGCTATGCGTTACGCTACGCAATGCAACACGTGGCACTGCATTTAATAACTACAAATCTCCGTGAATAAAAATGACTTGCTGTTACTGGATAAATGCTAACTTAGCTAGCGCAGCCCGTAGCTCAACTTCAACCGCCGTCCCTGTAATTTCAGGCCCCCTTGTCTTCCTCTGGTCCGGGGTGACAAAGATTCCTGTAACTTCACTGCGTTATATCCAGAAAACACCAATATCTGCAGTGGGATCAGAAGCCTGTGGCAGTTTTATGTCCAGTCCAAATCTCTGTAGGTGTACTCAATAATCCCAGTCTCTGATATCTCCATATGTCTCCATTATATTGAATCATAGTCACTGCTGTGTCTTCTCAGCACCGTACAACAACACTGCTGACAGATCCGCTGCTCGCCAGTCTCCTCTCCTTGGTTCCCGCCCTCTCACTCCAAGCCCCGCCTTCCAACTCATATGATTGGACGCTGGTCTTACGCAGGATGTAATACATTGGCTTAGCAAAACGACCATCAAAATCTGCTGTCAACAACGCAGATGGTGAGGAGAATGTGGACAACAAAGATGATTCATTTGTCACTGAAACACAGAACAATGGCAATCTTGTGGATAATACATTCATACATTCCGACTGTTAAGGTAGATTTTGTTTACTTAGAAAACTGTCTGTTTTAATGTTTTGTAGGTTAATTTTGTATGGTTATTGGTTATGGTTAGGCTACTCTAAGGAATACACAATGAATGAGGCATTGTTTTCTTTGTTGTTGCCTGTTCTTGTGGTAAATGTAAAAAACTGTGAATTCTAAACACTATTGTCCCATGTGAATCTATAGTTTTGTAGAAAAAAACCCAGAGGTGATAAAAGCTGGAGAGTGCAGATTAATTTATACACATCATGGTAATACAGAAATGAGGGGCAAAGAAGAATACACGGTATAATGCAGCGTAACTGCATGGTAACATGAGTTATAGTATGTGATGTACAGTAGTAAGGCTGAGTTTGATGCCATCTGTGTCAAATCTGTTTTCTTAACATCATGACTCACTTCTCTTTAGCTTTGCTAGAACGAATCTCATGAGGATAAACACCTACACACAAAGAACCAAGCACACAGGCTGGTAATGGCAGCAAAAGCATGAATCATTAAAGATAATATGAGTAAAGCAGATTCAGAGTGGTAAAAGCTTTATTAAAGATTGACTGTTGTACATGCCCTTGAAAATAAACAAATAAGAAGGAGGTCGGGGGATCGATTGATTAGGTTGAAGTGATTAGCCATTATAATATTTGAATATCCTCCAATATAATAATGAACTCTCAGTAGCCATCAGACTACACAACCAAATCTAGACCCCTATATACAATCCTTTAATAACTATATTGACCTACTTTGGACTTGCACATAGACATTTATATATATTTATAATATTCAGAATTATCCAAATCTGTAACCTAATTCTATTGTTAGTTTTGTACTGTTGTGGTTGCTATTTTATTTTCAAAGAATAAAGATTTGCTTAAAATAAATAAGCAAGTGATTTTGACAACATTTTGATTAAACCCCATTAATTGTGAAAACGAGTACATTAAAAAAAAATTAAAGTGCATAAAGACCAGTTTCAGAGTATCCCCCCCCCTTAAATGCATTGTATGGCCCATCATGAGAATAGCATATAAGGCATTAAAGATGAGACATTAAACACCATTAGCAGTCATTAAATCATTCTGTATAACACATGCTACATAAATAACTGAACAAAACATCACAAATCAACACACGAGGCATGTTTAGCTAGTGATAAAGGAAAAACAAGTTTCAAAATGCACTTTTTCCTTAACGATTTCATGTAGGGTTTTCATCATCAGTCCTACCGGAACTATATTTTTCCGTTTGATTGTCAGAAAAAGCATTAAGACACAGCTCCTATGATCTATGGATCAGTTTGGATTTAAAATGATAATAATCTGAATAGAAAAGAGCGATCCCAGGATTACAGTAAGACTGGATACGTGTGCTGCAGCAGCACATGCTGTATATATAAATACATCTCATCAAATCTAGGCACACACATTCTTATTCAAATATATGACTAGAGCAGCTCTGGGGTTTGTCTCTGATTGACATTACAGATGAGATCAAATCAAGTAATACCAATACCAATTATTTGATAAGCTGTTTATGAAAAGATAAGCCTCATCTGAAAAGAAGAGACACCAGTATATGAAATACGCATGGATTTTATTAAATGGCAATGGAACATTTAGTACAGATCAGTAGGAGAGGATCAAATAAGAGGTTACAAAAACAAGAATGCACATTTAGACAAATTGGTGCTAAAGACGCTAAAGTACAGAAATAATTCCCATCAAAGAGTGAACATTTGTTTTGAATTCTAATTCAGCACTAAGACTGCAGGCAGAGGACATTTCATTGCCTAGCTTTATAAAAAGTGGAAAAACAGCTTATGTTTCAATCAGAGATGGATTAGGTTCATTGTTACAAAGAATGACACCACATTTCATTACAGATGACATGAATAGGCACATATATTAGAAATAACAAGACAAATGCTGACAAATTCACCCTGAGCAGAATAAAGATTTGCTTCGTACCATAACAGAACAGTAACTCCCTCCATAACTGCGAAATATGGCAACAAATGAACACATAAAACACTAATCGTTCTTTTAGACTACACTCTTATACATCAAAACACAAAGTATTCAAAAGAAAATATAAATCAGTTTTTCCAGTTAGTATCATTTAGGTAGACTTTTGCTAATACTTTAATAATTATATAAAATCTATATGATCAGTGCAGTTAAAGCATAAATACCTGATTACTGAGTGGAATCCCGCCTCTATGTTGCATTAAATATGGAGTCTGGTTTGATGACTCTTTTTGACTTGAGTTACTGTTGCGACATGTGTTGGCAATTAGAGTAAGCAGTGTCCATTGGCTGCAGTTCACTAAAGGTCAGTCTCACTTTACTTCTAGAATCCCTCCAAAAGCTTCAATGGTGCTTAGAGGCTGGTGCTGGAGTAAAAGTCATGGGTCAAAAAACTCTAATGTTTACATTCTGGTATTTCATGACTAAGGAGTGTTGTAGGGAGGGTTTTATCTGTGTCCTGGTTCCCTCAGCAAAACGACTTTAAACTAGGTAGGTTTTACAGGAAAGCCCATGGAGTGTGAAAAACAGCTTGTACTTCATGTGTGTGATCGTGAGTGGTACATCACTATGGATTATTTGCTTATGGCACTTGAAATGGACATTACATTTAAGAAGCAGGTGCACCAGCACAAAAGTCAATCAATGTACTGTCATCTGCTTGTTTTTTTCTCATTTGTTTTTTTCTATTAAGTCTTATCTAAGGATTAGTCATTCATCTTTCTGTCGCACACTTAAACCATACCACACAAATAGCTTTGGTCCTTTAGTGGCGTTTTTCTTTGTGGGAAACATTGGTTTAGGAGGTTTAAATACTCATTATTATTCATTTATGGCCTCTACAACAAAAGAAAACAGCTGACCCTAAATCAAATCCTAAAATGATGGAAAATAAAAGTATCTTCCCCATGTAGTGAAAGTCATCTTATGATCACAGTTCTTACAGCAGCAGGACGTGACTACTTGCTGGTTTTTAAGTTTGATGGCTTACACCGCCTTGTTCTCTGTGCTCAGAAACATTTTTCTTCTTCTTCTTCAACCTGACCAAGTGTGCTGAACTGGCAGTTTCTTGCTAACACACACTTTCTGTAACTTTCTTCCAATTTAACATGAAAGCAACGCAACTCACATTTCTTTTTACCTTTCCATCTCGTTTCACCTTTCCCCCTCTTTCCTTCCATCTCATTATGTAATCAGTCACTTCCCTTTCTGTTGTCCCCTCATCCCCTCAGTCGGTTTTGGTGGTTTTATGTCTCCAGGGATAAATCAGCTCCCCAACAAACAGTTTCTTGGCCAGGGCCGCCCACGAGTCTTTGGGGTAACAGCTGTACGTCGGGGTGCGGTACAACTGAACCACCGTGCTGCTCTTCAGAGGGTTAATCTGAGGAGGGAAACACAACAGCTCGATATCTTAAAAAACTCACATCAATTGTACTGTATTATCAGGTTACAAAGTTCTAAATCCTTTACTAAACAGACACAATCCAGAGAATTTACTCCATTATTAGAAGCCTCAGAATAGACACAAAGGAAAATACTTTAGATGGCAAAGAAATCAAGGGGAAAGGGAATTCGATCTTTAAAAAGGAAACTAAATGTGGCCTCTTACCTCCATCAGCAGGTGCAGGGCCGTCCCGGGCTCTTCACACAGCACCTTGAACTTTACACCCTCTGTGAAGAACATCGATAAGAGTCCAGAATCATCTATACACTCATCCACCCATGAATCTCTTTGCTATCAGGATTGAACAACCTGCTGATAATGCATCATGTTGTCATAGTTCTGTCAGTCCAATCATTCCCGATCGCTTCGACATGAACTCATTAGATGTTCACACATTAAAAAGAGTGGAGCAGGGATGACATATTTTTGTAGCAGAACCCTGAACTTAGCATCGCCCTGGTTCCCTAAATAAAACAATGGGATTTATCAATTGGATATTTGATTATATTATGATATTTACACAATTTGTACAATAAGGTCATCTTAATAAATTAATAACCCTTTTTTTTTTTATAATAACATCGCTAGTAAAAAAAAGCCACATCAAAAGTGTTTAAGAGAACATATTGTAGCCATTTCCATGTTTCATATTTGTATTCTGTGCCTCTACTCTGACATGTTTGCAAGCTTGAATGTTCAAAAATGGCTTTATTTTTCTCAGACTGCCTTAGCATTATTAGAGCTAGGTACTGAATGCTAATTGGCTCAATAATGGATTTAATCTTTAGGTATTGAAATGTGGTATTGAATGACAGGGAATTCTTCGATACTTTAATTTACTGACATATTTTATGTGGTAAAGAAAAAAAGTAAAAATCTCTCAGGCTTGTGTTAACCACAGAGCTTATTTCAGGCATTTAACACATTAAATAAAAAGGGAAGCTGTGCAGGTGTTCCTCCTAAATAAGGAACGTTTCAGATCCTCGAGTCAGTCGGAAGAATCTGTAGTGTTATCTTAAAAAGCATTGCACTTCCATCATCTTTGATTGAGCAGTTTTACACAAATGAAGTGATCCATGAGAAAAGGTACCTGCTAGTCTGTAGGAGCGCGTGATGCGGAGCGCCACAGCGAACAGAGGGAAGGAGTTGATGAAGTCCACACTGAGGTGGAGCACGCCCTGGAACAGCACCACCACCAGCCGCAACTGCACAGGTGTTACAAACAAACACACAGGTGTTACAAACAAACCCACCCTACTGGAGAGAATCAGGGCTGGAGTCACTTAATAAAACAAGTGTGAATGGACTACTGAGTGTTGTGGGTAATCCAATACAATAAGCTATTATTTGAACGGTTTTCAACAAATGGAGGCAGACATTTCATGATTGATCAGCCATCAATCACATCCTCTGCAGACCAAGGCAGTTGGGTTTATATATGGCTTCTTTACAGAAATAGAAACTGGACTCTGCATAATGTTAGTTAGCTTTAAGGGATTCTAATGGTGAGAAATAGATTAGATTCAATCCACAGGATATATGAAATAATGAGTATGTATTTCATGTTTAAATTAGGGAGGGTAAGAAACAATTTGGGATTTTAAAACTTAATGCAGTTTCTTTTGGCTAAATCTATACTTACTAACTCCTTTTAGGTCAGTAACTAAATAAATCATCTAATAAAATGGTTCAGTATTTCTCTACCACAGTTTCATTCCTGGTCAGGGTGCAGAAGGCTTTGAAACCGAATGTAGGAGTGCTTTAAAATGTCTAATCATTCCAAGGGAAGAACATCTGGGGCTTATTATCGGGAAATGTTGACGTGTCTTGAGGACATTTCCATGGAAGGATTTGTCAGTTTGAACAAAATAAATTAGCATTTATTGACTTTACGGTAAAGCAGCCTTTAAAACCAGGAAAGACAACCCGTAAGATATAACGATATTCAAAATGTAAGGCAATATCTATTCTCATATCACAATATCAGCAGTCTTCTAATTACTGTGCTTACTTAAACTCACAAGAGGGTTTCATGATTCACAGCTTTTTCTAGATTCCTGTCTACAGCTGTAGAGGTTCGTTGTGTTTCAGAGGTCTGAACCCCGGTGAGCACAGAAGTGTATTTCTTGCAGGAGTGTGTTTACGTGTGGCTCGTGTTACCAGAGTGAAGACCAGGTAGTAGAGCGCTGTGGTGGGCAGCAGGAACAGCAGCACGGTGAACAGCAGGGTCCCAATGAAGAGCTGAAGCAACGATAACACACAAACACACTCACAGTAAACGTCTGTGCCTCTGTGCTGATGACAGTGTGTGTGTGTGTGTGTGCGTTGGTGCTGGTGTTATTTCTTTGCGTGATGACTTCTGGGACTTGAATGTGTCTAAAAAATGAACCCAAAAAGGCAAATTGCCCAATTAAGGTGTGAACTTGTCACCAAATGCAAATCCTAATGGGTAATAATTATCCTCCTAAACTAAATTCCTTTTCAGGCCTGTCATCATCTTTTGAGGATCTTCTAAGCGTTGCTTTTGTCTGCATGTTTCAGCCTCACAGTGACACACAGAAACAGCCTGTTGTTAAAATCTCAGTGAAAGAAAGGGAACTGAACAAACCCTTGGAAAAGACGAATGCATTAAACATCATTGACTTATGTACCATGTCCTATTCAAAGTGTCTCAAATTGGCTTCAATTTGACAAAAAACAACATTAAAGCGCTCAAATGTATACGCTGGAGATTAAAACAGAATAATATAATACTTTGTAATTGCATGAGTACTTTTATTTTATACTTTAATTACATTGTGCTTATATTTTATGTATGATTATATACGTTAAGATACATTTTATAATCCCTTGGTAAAATCACAAGCTACCTGACTTCTGGTCCTTCCAGTATGATTGGCTGGTGGTAATACCTTTATTGTTTTATCTAAGCAAAACATTTAGAATTCAGGACTTTTACTAGTAATGGAGTATTTGCAAACGTTAGTCTATGTTTAGGTGAAAGGCCTTATCACTGGGGGTTACCTGGTCCAGGTCGTAGGAGCAGGAGTCCACCCTCTGCCGCAGGACGTTCCACTTCTTCCCCCTGAAGAGCCTCCAGAGAGACGAGAGGCCGTAGATCTTCAGGCAGTACAGCCTGACACACACACAGAGGAAAATGTATACCACTTCATTCAATACATTATCAATATGTGTACATTACAATGGTGTACATCAGAGAAAAAAGGATGGAAGAGAAGAGAGGAGAAGTAGAGAGAGGGAAATGAAAGAAATGAGTTGGAATGCTTTTAGAAACAAAGTTAGTTTCAATGTAAAGCCTCTTTGAAAAAGCGTTACATATATTTAATATCTTCTTTTATTATTATGAGCGGATATAATTGATCTAAGTGGCCGATGAGACATTTTATATGGATAATTAAATGTTAATATTGTAGTAATAATAATAATTTTTTTGATTGTTTACATCTTTTTATGTTAACCTACTTATTCATTTGTTTGTATTTATTTGTTGGCCGTCACTTTGCTGTTGTGACTCTGTAAATGTCCCAACTGTGGGACAAATAAAAGGATTTATGATGTTTTAAATGGTATAATACTAGTATTATGAGTGTAATCTGATAATTATATGCAACTGGGCAGAAATACAGTTTTAAAAAAAACAACTTGGAAGGCTGTACCATATATTGTGCAGCAAACTTAAAAATACTTGGCACAGCCCAACAAAAAACATGTTCACATTCTAGACGTGAGATATATTCATATATTCTTTTAAATAAAGACACGTTTTCTAAAGATTTCTGATTATTATTAAACATGTATGAACATGGATAGTTATTACTAATTCTCTCCAATGTAGAAACTGCATGACCGCAGCAGGAGGTATTTTTAGGTCTATGCATACACATTTAATAATCCACTGACAAAGGCTTCTCAAACTAAATCTGAAAACAGACCCTGGCACAAATGTAGGAGCTGCTGGGGCATAAATATGCAGAAAGAAAGTGGGTAATATTTCATTATGCACCACAGCGAGGGAGCTCAGCTATCTTTAGAGCAAATGCATAATTTAGTCAATCCTCTCCTCCAAGACTACATCTACGGCTTTCATTCAGATACAACTGATGGAAATCAAAAAGGAGGGGAGTGTACCTGAGAGTCAAATACACATTCAATTATACAGATTTATAATTTATTCTCCAAACAAGATCTGCCAGTAGGGACATGTTCTGACATGAAAAAGGAAGATCAAACTATTTTTAGATGTTTAATGATGCACCAGGATATTTATAAATGTCATATTTGTTCATAGACTTTAAGCAACCATCTGAGCTCTTTTTTTTTTTTAAACCAGATTATACAGAAGTAAAAGTTCCACAATTTAGACAAAACATGATGCTAAAAATGATGATGTTTGTATAATGTTTAAAAAGGCCCTATAATGCTATTTTGGGGTTTTTCCCTTGCCTGTCGTGTGTTTTATAGATTTTGTGCATGTAAATGTTCTGTTTCCCCCCCCCCCCCCCGCCTGAAACGCCTCCATTGGACTGCTTTTTTGACTTCTGTAACATAGTGACATCACTTCCTTACACTCACGCCGCTATTCGCTAGAACTCCATGGCATTGTTTGTAATAGACTAAGGCCCCGGCCACACGAGGACGATAACGGTCGTATCTGCTACAGTTCACTATCAGATAGACGGTTCGGCCACACGAGGCCGACATGGAAACGCAGAAAACGATAACGATAACGGGTCCCTCGGTGGGTAGATCTGCGGACGAAACGCTCTGGGGGGGGCAAACGGCTCTGTGTTTACGCCTATACGATCATGTCCTGATAACGATGACGCAATAGCCCCGCCTCTCCCCACCTCTCCTGCTCAGAGATCAGCTGCTGGGCTGTCAGAAGAGGGGGAGGAAAAGAGAGGCTCCGTTTTTTATTCTTATATTATTATTATATAGAGTCGTTATTCATTTGTTTTAAAGCTCAATAAATAACAAAGAAGACCTCTGACCGGCACTTTTCTAATATTGTCCGGAAGATTTAAAAACTTTAATGGACATGTTGACCGGCAAAACAAATCTAACTGAAACTCTGCCGCACGGTCCCCTCGTTCCTTGGAAGAGGCGGAGAGGTGGGTGTTTGTCATCTGCTGGTGGACTACCAGAGAGAATTACAGCAGGAGCAAACGCTTGCCTCGGGGAGGGAGAAAAAGAGCCAGAGCTTCCACAGCGGAGAATAAACAGAAGGGCAACCATGGCAACCATGCGCGGGAAGTCTTCTTCGCTGCTTTTGTGGCAGGAGTACAGCGCCACTTACAGGCCTGGCATATGTACTACAGCGTCTCCAGCGCTTTCGAGCGGTCTCGTGTGAACGGACACGTTTCTGGTGCCTGTTGCGTGTGGGCGGAATACTTTTTTGATAACGATTGCGGTCCGTTTGCGTTATCGTCCTCGTGTGGCTCCAGCCTAAGGGGCGGGACATCTCTAAGCGGTTTACCAATCATAACAGATTTGGCCAGCTAACCAATCAGAGCAGACTGGGCTCTGAAAAAAAAAAGTCATTTTTCATGCAAATATGGTACAAACGCTGTTTTAAGTCTCTGAAATCTGGATTTTCTTGCTTTGTTCTATGGTATTTAGGTAAATATCTTTGGGTTTTGGACTCACAAACAAGAATGTTAAAGACCTTAAAGATCGCCTTGGACTCGGAAAAACTGGGATTTTTTCAGCTTGCTGGAATTTCAAATATAAATCTGACTTCCTTAGGATCACTGTTAACACTATCATAAGGGCTTATACACTTGCATGTCTAAATGTCACACTGGAATGGCGCAAACGCTGCTTTTCAGATATTAAGAGAGCAGGTGTTTCAGATTTACTGAAGTTATTGGCAGCTTAATCTTTGTAAACTTGATTTCTGATCTAGAAAAGCAAACCTCTTGAGCCAAAGGACTAAAACAGAGTGAAGGAAACTACTTGATGCACCAAATGATGTTTTAATAACCGTATGACCCAGTTACGCAGCAGTGACGTAAAACAAAAACATCTTGCTCAGCCAGATGGATTATTCATGTCTTGTAGTGCCATCGACAATTCAAATGATAATAACTTTGGTATTCTCTGCTTTCTATGAAGGGAAAACACAGATGTTTTCATTACGCACAACACCACAGTGAGGAAAAAAAGGATCCATTAGTTCCTACTTAAGATGAACTAACTCAAAATAATGAGATACTTAATCCCAATTTTGACAAAGTTTCTCATTATGTATGCTTTGTTTCTCCTCTCAGTGGCAGAGAAGGGCTTACATAAGATTGTTATGAAAGAAATATCATTTATATTTGACCCTCCTGGTACAGATAGAGGACAGTAATGGTTGTTGTGTGCCCCACATCTCCACTAAGCATGTATATAGGTCCTGTTTGTGAATGTCTGTGTTTGGGCCTGTGTGTAATGTAAAATAAGGCCAGAGTGCAGAACTATATTTCCCCTCAGGGATTCATAAACTGCGTCTTAATCTTTAGTCTGAATCTCAACCAAGACTCTAAAAGACGGGTCAATAAGGAACTGTAATTATAATGACTTTACAAGAGGGAAAGAAGAAGAACAAGGTTGGAAAAATACGCCTCCTGCAGGAAGTCATCAGGAACAACCACAACTACAACTAATTACAGGGTATATGCAGGAATCCTGAAGCCAAATGTAATACCTTTTAAGACCCTTTCCATGCATTTTAAGACCTCATCGCCATTTTGAGTTTCAACCGGTTACATTGGCGACACACTTTACCTCACATTGACTATATACAGTATTGATTGTCCTTCCTCCTTATCTTCCAACCATTTGGACGCAAATTTGCATTTCCCCATAACGACCTGTGACCTAAGATTTTCAGCGACATAATTACTCTGTAGCTATGTTAGTTTGACAATAAAGAACCTTGAACGATGTTGTTTAACAACCGGCGTAAACGGACCTTCGCGCGCTATCAAGCAGTGAGCGTGCGATGTCCTGTTCAGATGACGTCAAATCCAACGGGATGCCATAAATAAACTACACAGAATCACACTACACACCTACGCAATGATTACATTCAGGCAGACTGTAGAATACAACCTCTTTGGACAATTGATATACTTATTGAAAACAAGCTACAATATGTAATAGCTTGGAAAATGCCGTTTAATACTTTTTAAGACCCCGCGGACACCCTGAATTAGAAGCATTTTTGAGTGTTTAGAGTCACATTTAATCCTGGATGGTGTTGAAATAACTTGGGATTTATCTCGAAAGAACATACAGTACATACTAGGGATGGACCATATTGAATAAAGCTGATATTAATAATGAATACTGTTATAAGTGATATTTTAGTTTGCTGCTATATAAACTCCAAGATGAAATAACACAGGTATTTTCACTAGATGTCTTGAATGCTCTATTTTGAAATATTTAATTATTCTTGAATTATGAAGGCGGTTTTGTAGTGGACTGTATCTGCATAGAACATGTTATAAATAAGAGTTTGAATTCTGACTTTAAATCATTTTAAAAGACTACTTCAGAAATCACTGGTGGCATCAACATGACAATTGCCCTGTACGCATTAAAACATTTCCATACATGCGTTTAAAGGCTTCATAAATAAATGAATCATATATCTGTCTTTAAATCAACAATGGAGTTTATCTTATCTTAAGGGATTTACGTTTTGTTGTTTTTGAATTATTTTGGCATAGTTTAGTTTTACAAGTTATATAACACGAAGCCAATACATAAGTTCATTAAGACATGAATTATCCCTTTCTAGTTTTTATTTAAATAATTTAATTTAATAAGAGTGCACTCCTATTCTCCTAAATAAAATAAAAGTCGTAAGCCAAGTGGAAGAAGAGGGGGAAGAGGACTAGAGTGAAAAGAAGAGTTTTAAGGGCTGTGCAGCTAGCTGTGGAGATAGCTGTGGAGCTGTGCTGAGGCCTCACCTGGCTCCGTACACGTAGAAGCAGTAGATGTGGAAGGTGAGCAGGGCCACCATGTCGGAGAGCAGCGAGAGGGCGAAGGTCAGGCCGAAGCAGGCCGACAGACCCCCGTACCACAGGATGCCCTCGATGAAGGGGGACATCAGGTGGATGTAGCCTGGAAGGGAGAGGGTGCATCAGGGAGAATGAAAGCCAGGAGCAGAGATGCTGCTTATATCTTTCTTTGGCATGGAAGTGATCAGCACGCTCAAAAGGTCTACCATGATTATTTAATGCTTCATCATTTCCACAGCAACAGATCTAGAGAGGGCTTATCTAGCTCTGAATGACAAATGAACACATGAAAATAACTTTTGCTTTAAATAAAAATATATATTTTAGTGTCAAGAAACAGACATCGTTTAAATCCTTAAGACATGTATTTTCCCATGTTTGCATATAACTCCAAAGTAAAGCAACATAAGTATGTGTTAAAACAACAAACAGGGCATTTGAATGATAAGATGATCCTGGGAGGATATTTACATTATTAAATATCAGCATATTTCTTGCTCATTGGTATTTCTTAAAATCTTTCATTTAGGGTAAGGGTCCAGGGACAACAACCAAAGCTGGAGACAGGATTGTTTATTTTTTATTTAATTGTATTGATTGATTTTGGTTAACATGAGTGATGGTGTAGTTAAAACACCACAATGTTGAAAATTAAACCTTTTAGAAGGAGTATATTAACATATCAAAATAACCTTTGCATCCTAACGGTTAATATGAACTATTCTCCAAACTGTGAGGACTTTGTACAAGTCTTTGTATCAGTCATTGTCAAAGCCCTGTGTGTGTGTGTGTGTGTGTGTGTGTGTGTGTGTGTGTGTGTGTGTGTGTGTGTGTGTGTGTGTGTGTGTGTGTGTGTGTGTGTGTGTGGTGTGTTGAGACTCACTGATCCAGAGGTGGATGTGGTAGAGGAAGAAGCGGCCCAGCACCTGGTCCAGGGCCCGGTTCATCTTCAGCCCGGCAGGAGCTCCCATCAGCCACTGCAGCAGCTCCTCCAGCTCTTTGGCCACGTGCTGAGGAGGAACCAGAGGGAACAGTTAGTGGGATGAGGAAATCCAAAACACCAGCTCATTCTTTTCAGTTTTTATTCTCCAAATATCTGGAACAAAATTCCAGAAAACTGCAACTGTCTCGTCTTGTAAAATCCAGACTGAAGACATTTCTGTTTCCCGCCTTTCATTAAATCAAAGAACTATTCACGCTTAGAGAAAACTGTACATTTTATTATTGTTTATTTGACCTGTCGTATTCAAGCTTATATTCTCTCGGCTTATTAATGACTGTTTGAATTGTATTTTAATATCCTTTCATGATGTGTTTCTCTTTCTTGTGTTACACAAGATCATGCTTTTTAATGTCATTTTGTAAGCACACTTGTATTTTCAAAGACTTACATTAAAATGTCAAGGTTTATTAGGTAATTTACTTCACCCAAACCTAAACTTTCTTGCGTTAACTTAAAAAGCCTTGTTTATGTAATTCAGCAACTTAGACTTAAACATCTGATCTGTGTCACACACTCACGTCGGCTGCAGGCACCAGTGTGTTGGCTAACATGCTGATGTGGTTGTCTTTGTACAGCCACCACATCAGCAGCATGCCGAGAGCCACGTCCAGCAGCACCGACACCACCATGTTCGCCTTCCTGGAAACACACAGAGAGACAATAGAAGTGGTTACAATAAAATAAGCAAAATAAGAAGAAATAAAACATTAAAGGTCCCATGCCATGGCCATTTCTACTGATCATAATTCCATTGTTGAGGTCTACTAGAATAGATTTATACTGTTCAATTTTCCAAACTCACATTGGTTTCTCATACAGCATCTCTGTAAAGTATGTGTATTCACTCTCTGTCCAAATGGCTTGTTGGAGCTCCTGCCCCCCCCTCCCTCCCTATGAGCCTGTGCTCTGATTGGTCAGCTCGCCCACTCTGTTCTGATGAATCCACCACCGTTACAGCGGAACATCAGTGATTATGTGTTACAGTGGCGTTTGTTAGCAGCCAGAAAATGACACCAGTAATGACACACAGATGAGAATGCTGCGTGGGGTCTGGGTGCCGTGTTGGCGGGACGTTGCGGGGCTCGCTGCTCCGCCCTTTGAGGCTCGATGAGCGGACAGTGTGAGCTGGGTTACTGGTGTCGTTTCCTGGTTGCTGCGTGGGGTCTGCGAGACAGCGCGAATGGATGCGGGAAGGGGGGGGGGGGTGCTGAGGGGGCTGCAGCACCCCCATCTGTGAGGCTCCACTAGCACCCGCAAAACTTCCACTTCAAATCCAATTCAACGACCCGACTGACACTTCAGCATAAAACCGTTGAGGATGTTTTATACGGTCGATGACTGCTGACTCTTCTAACCTAGGGGCCAAAATAGATCACTACCAACTGCTTTAGTAGAACAATGCAGATGGGCTAAAAACAATCCTTATCAACACTGTTTCACGACACATTTCGTCCTTGCCGTGGCTCAAAAACTGACATCCAATGAAAAGTTTGGTCTCATTTTGAACCGGAGCATCCGCAGATTCATTCTATAATAGCTATGCTACGATCCACTAAAGTTAAGAATGATACAACATGAATAAATCCTTGTTTTTGTAATCTTTTGGGAGGGACAATTAAGTGAGATTGAAATATTCGTTATTCATTTCGGAGGGGAGAGGGAGACACACCTGCAGGAGAGATCTACTCTCCTCTGAGGTGACCTGCTTGCACTGTTTATAACACCAGAGAGTTTCTGTGTTGCTTTGACTAACTATCACCTCATGAACTCCGTGTGTCCGGCGGCAGGCTTCTGCGAGCTGAGCGTCCTCATGTGCTCCGTCCTGTAGCTGAGCTGCACACAGGTGGACAGCTTACTGCTCAGGAAGCGCAGCGGGGACAGACTGAAGACCCTGCAGGACAAACATACAACATAAGGATGATGTTTGAAGTGTGCTGGCTCACATTGTCAGTCAGTCACATTAACATTTACAGAACTGTGGTGATACAATTTGGATGTCGACTAATTGATCAATTAGTAGAACATTTTAAAGACTTTAAGGTGGGGTAGGTAAGTTTGAGAAACCGGCTCGAGATACACTTTTTGTTATATTCCATGGAATGCTCTTAACATCCATAAAATCCATACAAAAACGTCATCTGTGGAAGCCGTAGTACTGTAAAAAGCACGACCAATCATCTGAGCCGGCCCGGCTAAAGTAACTGGATGGCCTACCTGCCTGTCAGCGTTCCATTTGTGCACAAACGTATCTCGTGCCCTCATTGGTCATGTGCGCGTTCGTGTGTGTTGGAGGGGGGGCTCTGTGAGGAAGTGGCAGATTTTCTCCGGTTGTGTATTTTCAAATTCTAGCCACTCGAGCTGGTTTCTCCAAAATGACCTACCCCACCTTTAAGCAACGGGAATTTATACATTTCACTATTTTCTGAAATGTTCTAGAGCAGAGGAATAATATATTTATTTATTAGAAAGAAATATGAGGAATTATGTATTATTAAGCTAATCGTTGCAGGCCTGATTTGATTGTAAAAAATTGTAAATATACTCTGCACGTTATCACTTTGCTGTCTTCTGGTTAGATGCTCTGTGCAAAAATAATAAAGCTGAATCAAATATCCTCTTACTAAGCCTGTTGTTGGTCTCATAGCTGCCCGTACGACTGGCTTTGTAGACATTCATTCAAATAGAGCACATTGCCTCCTCCCCCCCCCCCTCTCACCGGATGTTACAGATCCAGGTCCAGATGCTGAGCAGCCAGCGAATCAGCACGCAGAGCGGCAGGGTGGAGTGTTTCAGCAGCTCCACGATGATGCTGGCCTCTCGACCCTCAGACTGCCAGTGTGTGGACTTCAGGGGCCCGTCGTCGTATCGGTCCAGGAAGAACAGAGGCTGGCTGAGGGCCACCGAGCGGAACATCTGCCCACAGGAGAGGAGGGGGTTAGGGATATTAATGGCTGCTTATACCCATTAACATGCACTTCACTCTGCACACCCTCTGGGAACAGGTCGAATATTTGATGATTTACCTCACATGTGATGCCAAACTGTTTAAATGTCATGCTGCATTATTATTCTTTTCTTTAGGATATGTTGCTGCATTGTGGGAGAAAAGGCAATCTTACAAGCAGAGCCCAAAGAAAGGAATTCCTAGCATTTCTAAAACCTTAAAAAACAACAAATTGAAAGTAGTTTTTTCTTAGCACGTGAACAAACTCTATATTAAGAAGAAAACCTCAAACAGGAATGACGTGAGGCACTGCTGGTGTACCTGTCTCAGCTCAGAGGTTGGGTCCGTTGTTGGGTCTGAAAGGCCGTTCTCGATGGGGTGAAGCTGCGACAGCATCACCTTCCTCTGCTCGTAGTGGACGAAGATCACCTTCTCCTCCTCATCCTCCTCCTTTTCTTTCTCCTCCTCCTTTTCTTTCTCCTTCTCCTTTTCTTTCTCCTCCTCCTTTTCTTTCTCCTCCTCCTTTTCTTTCTCCTCCTCCTTTTCTTTCTCCTCCTCCTTTTTCGTCTTCTTTTTCCCCTTCTTTTCTCCATCATCGCCATCAATCTTATCCGCCTTCTTTTTAATCTCCCGTGGAATTACTCTTCCATCTGGCCACAACAAAGTTACAGTCACTCAAAACGCGTTATTCATTTCACTGAAAAGGAAGTCCTCCTGAGGTTTATTAAAGCATTAGACACAAATAATAATAATAACAATAAGTAACCCAAAATGGTTCTGAAACAATATTTCAAAATGTGGATGTTTTATGCAAACCCAGCCCAAAAACCATACTTGTTATTAAAGTTATTTTGGAATTTAGAAATAAATGTGAAATGATGGTATAGTTAAGTTAATTTTTTTATTTCATTTGTTACATTTGTTATGATTATTTGTTAATTATCATGTGTTTTCTGTGACGCTTTTGGCTGTTATGAATGATATTGCTTTCCTGGTGTTGTCTTTATTTACTTTGAAATAATACATGAGAGTCTCAGTGTGCGAGTCTTACTCTGATCCCGGCTGAGGACCTGGCAGTTGAAGCCGGTCTTCCCCAGCTCGCGGTTGATCTGGAGCCAGCGCTTCTGGGGGAAGATGGTGCTGAGGTCTCTGAGGAAGCTCTCCATGCCCTCCTGCCCCTCTTTGGGGAGACTCCATGAGCCCAGCACCGACAGCTCCACCCCACTGCGGGCCTGGATCTGGGGAGAAGACCTTCACGTTTTGGACCTTTAAGAAGCAGTGTCCTAAGACTCTTTTTTCTGGGGCATTTTATTTTCAGTTCATTGACAAACTGAACAAGATGATATTTCCACCTATCATCTTTGTTGTTATTAGGAAATGCAGGGGTAGACGTTAAGGGTCAAATTCCACTGGCCCGGAACATTCGTCCAAAGAATCGACTAATAATGAAGAAAATGAACACATTTGTTGCAATAGTAATTTATGCACTAACTACATTACATCAGGAGTTAGACATGTAATGGCTATGTAATAGATTAGATTAGAACCTTCATTCTCCTAAACTGCTGGGACATTTCCCTATAGACAATACCTTTATATTTTCTACTCTTCACTTACTTGTCAGCAGGTCGGCATTGATGTACAGAGCCGACTAAAGACCTTGTGTATATCGTCATATTGAAACCAACTCCATCGATCAAGCTGGCTGAAACTTTCTCTCCCTCTTCTTATCATGCTCCCTGTCACTCTCCTTTAATTCCTCCGGTGACTTTCTTTTATTTGAAGATAGTTTTTTGCCCGGCGCTTGGCCGGTTACCGCTGGTATTAAAAACATTTTGGCGAATGGTTAGGTGGCGCGATAGTCTGTAGTGAAGGAGCGCGCTCCCGCTCACGGGAGCAGGCTCGCGCTGCGCTCCCGCTCACGGGAGCAGGCTCGCGCTGCGCTCCCGCTCACGGGAGCAGGCTCGCGCTGCGCTCCCGCTCACGGGAGCAGGCTCGCGCTGCGCTCCCGCTCACGGGAGCAGGCTCGCGCTGCGCTCCCGCTCACGGGAGCAGGCTCGCGCTGCGCTCCCGCTCACGGGAGCAGGCTCGCGCTGCGCTCCCGCTCACGGGAGCAGGCTCGCGCTGCGCTCCCGCTCACGGGAGCAGGCTCGCGCTGCGCTCCCGCTCACGGGAGCAGACTCGCGCTGCGCTCCCGCTCACGGGAGCAGACTCGCGCTGCGCTCCCGCTCACGGGAGCAGGCTCGCGCTGCGCTCCGCACCAAAAACAGCTGTTTGCTTTTCACCCAACAACGACAACCGCCTCACAAAACGCTATGTTGTAGCGTTGATAAACGAAACAATTTAACTAAATGCTTGTCAAAATACCTATACTACCACAGGACAATATATTTTTTTAAAGCAATATTTTGAGTGGCCCGAGCGGGCAAGTGGAAAGTACGTTATGCTGACCGTCGTCTAAATAGTGCTTCCGGGCCAGCGGGCCATTTAAAATGTCGAGCCCTGGGAAATGATTAGCAACTTGGGAAACGGGTTGAAAATCAGGTTTTAAAGAGCAGCAGAGAGAAGTTCAACCTCTTTCTTGAAAATATCCAGGTATTTATATTTAGAAAAAAATTATGCTTTTCTTTGTGACTAAAATGTCTAGGGTTGTACCATTATTATAATTGTTGTATCCACAGAATGAAGGTCAATTTACAAAAAAGTCAGTTATACAAATGTATAAGTATAATTAGAATTGTGTTTTTGAACGGCTAAACGCCACAAAATTGGGGTTGAACTGAATATTTGGTCAGTTGAAAACATTTGGTACATTTGGATAGTTTTTTTCAATAAATGTTGACTTTGGGCCTGAGTAACGCTCCGGATTATGGTACATGTTTGGATCAAATGAGTATGAAAAAGATCCTATGCAGCAAACACTGGAAACTTATTCTACAGATAATATAATACTAATAATATTAGTGTAGAATCATTTGTATCTGCAACTGTGCACAAATACCGGCTTTAAACAGAATGAAAGAAATTCTGCGCAACATTCAAATGTTGAAATTAAAATGTAAATATCATGAATAAAACTTTGATACACAAACAAATATAATGAAAGGTCTACTAAGGTGTCCTCTTTGTATGAGTCAGATAAAACAGTAGAAATGTTAGTACCGGGTTAAAAACTGGTTTAATTATGCCGCAGATTGAAATGCATAAAGTTAAATTAGTCCTTGAGGAGTCAAAACATGAAGCCTTCAAAACACTCAGCGTTGTTACAAGACTTTCTATGTTTTACAAAGTCACAGTTTTTCTATCTGGGAGGACACAGGGGTGTGTTCAGTGCTGCTGCACGTACCTGCTGGATGTACTGTTTGACCTGTCCCGGGATGAATGGGTAGTGGATGACCGCCAGCACCACGGCAGAGTCATGGCCGGAGAGCCAGCGACCGACCAGCAGGCCGCTGTCGGCCCGGTTACAGCACTGAGGGAAGAAGATCTTCAGCACCATGACTTCACTGCAGCTCTGGTGATGATCTGAGAAAGAGAGGAAACGACAACCAGATGAGCTCTGCAGCACAGAAAGAGGCCAGCTGGCTGTATTCTAGATGTAGCTTCCTGTCAACAGAAGATACATCTTAATTCATCCCTGAAGGACTATTCAGGTGTGAGAGCAACACAAGCAATAAGACTGAAGGACAGGATATGCCTGGAAAGAGTTCACAAAAGGATACTAAGAATACAAATAAGAATATGAATGTAAGCAACAGTAAAAATAAGATGAGTGAATATTTTTATATATATTCTTAAACAAAATTCATGAATGCAACATTAGTCTATATTTCATTTATTAGTGGTATCTCTTTCGTGTGGCTCTCAGTACATTCATTCCTAAAGACTTCAACCCAAAAGCAGCTTACAACATTTTTTATTTTTTTTAAATGTCAAGAGCTACACTGAGAAAAGGTTGAATGGAAAGCTAGAATAAAAACCTGGTGTAAAGCTGACCCCGTTAAAAGAGCAATAGCTTGATATTTTACTTAGGGAATATTTCGATGCTTTAAGGTTACTTTTTGTATTTTTAGTCTATGGGAATTTCGAATGCATTACGTTGAATTGGAAACCAGAATGTCCTACACTGTCGTATTGCTACTTGCTTTTACTTCATATAAAAACCATCTTGCACCACTGGTCACATTTATCATAAATCACAACATTTCAAGTACATACAAAAATATTTCTAATATATATAATAATTATATAATGTATATATAAAATACCTGATGTCTGCCGAATCGAAAAGTGGACCTTTGATATTCATGAGAGATATTTCTGTTGTTAAAGCTGCTCTACATGAATGCACGACGGCTGGAAACTGATCAAATGTCCTGATTTTGAATGGAGTTTGGTATGAACGGAACGGAACTGAACGGAACTGGACGGTTGGCCTCCTTTTATGCCCTTCAAATATTGAGTTTGTAGCGCGTTGTTGTGGCAACATAAACCCCGGGGCTGGATTATTATTGATGTCAGTGACAGTTATGTCAATTAAAGGGTTAGCACATGAAAGTAGGTTAGCTTGAGTGTTAGCCAGCGAAACATAAATGTGGCAAATTACCGTTAAAATAACATGAATTTACTAAACGTTTATAGGAAAAATAAGTAAGTTAACGACGATTGATAACACAACATAAATTAGAGGTAAACGACATAACTGCAGTATGGAGACCAGTTATTGGTGTGTAAAACATACACTATTTACCTTCTTTAACAACGACCAAATATTTCACCTCCCATTTATAACGTCGAGTGGAGTTATGATCATGGGTTTAGTGAAGACGCCATATTTTTTGTTGATAGTCCGTTGCATAAAACTGTCCGGTGAGAAGCACAACTCTAATATTTGGTTCCGTTTTCCCTCCCGTCGAGTTGTTTTTACATTTTCACGATTTAAGCAAATAAATAGACTGGCCAATGACAACAACCAACAACAAAACACACGTTTTTGTTGACGTTACTACAGTTTGGTCCCTTTCATATGTAAATGTTTACCGGAGATAATAAAATGACCAAAACTGTCAACTTCGGTCAAAATAGACATGAAAACAAAAATATCCTCCCAAAGAGTGAAAACAACATTATAAAATACGCCTGACTGAGAACCTGATTAAATATATATTACAACAGAGGTAGAATGTATATAGATGATGATTACTTTACTAAATAAAGACGACGAAGTGTTTGGTTAGTATATGGTCAACATTTTCAATTAAAGAATAATAAATTATTATAATAAAAAAACCTAACAAGGTAACAGAACTCAAAGAAAATCGAAGAATGTAAACTTTGTTATGTTCTTTCTTTCTAAGGAAAACATATAACATAGAACCTAACTATAAAATAGTAGTTTATTGTCAAACTCTCTACTCACCAGTAACAGTTTGGGTGCTGCTGTTAGTGAATGAGGAGTTGGCCCAACTGTAAAGAGCTTTATCTCCACTGGAATGACTCAGCAACAACAAGAAAGAGCGCAAAGAAAGTGTCCAACAGACTATAATTAACACAAATATTCCAGGCAGATCATGGCTGTATTAAGGCTATCATTTCGAGACACAATTGAAGATAATTAAAAGTGAAATATAACCATTGTCTTTGAGCGTTTAAAGAAATTAACATTACAACTAATTACTATCTGTCTGCCAGCCACATTCATTGGCATACTCATATCATAATCAATCATAATCTCAACCATATTTCAAAATTGAAAGTCGGTCATGTGCTGGGGGGGTGGGTAGCATATTGCATCAAATGTTATAATATGTTCTTACAATCATAGGCATACTCATTTGGATCTAATGGATACATACGTGTGGACAGCAGAGGGAGGGACGGTAATAATTTGTTTATACCAATTCCTACGGAAAAAGTTTAAGGCCACATGAAAAATGTTTTTGGGGAATTCTGCCTTTTTTCAGAATTCTGAGATTACATTTTTTTTTAAACTTTTGGTCACATCATAACAAAGATCTCATGTGGCTCTAATTCTCTTCCGTAAATTCAAACCTTAGTAATAAAGAACATGTTTTTTTAATGTTCACGTTGAGAAAGCCCGCATAAAACAACCATGAAAACAACACGATAATTGGACACGGCTTAAAGTATGTGGATGCGCTAGCAGTAGTCCGCTTTACGGTAAATTGTAGTTTCCCCACGGAAGACGCAGATGCACTAAACCCGCTGTCGCATCTTAATGACGTTGCCCATTGATTAATAACAAAGTTCAGTCGGATTCTCTTAGCATAGCGGTTCTCTTGTATATAGTCCTGATGAATTAACTCTCATATATTTCCTTAAGGCTATAACGTTTTTCACGGAGGTGATGGAAAACCGGTTAGGAACAAGACCTAGGACCTGACGTTGTGACCAGGACCAACACATGTCCAGGGTATGAGGAACTGTCCGGTCTAAGTAGTACAAACCCCAGGAAAACAGTCATTAAGATGGACATTTCGCAGGACTTTCAGGCTCCTTTTTTCGCCATGAGTCGTCTACTTTCATTTCCCTGGACTGTGAGTATGGCTTCGTGCTAACATTGCTATTATCCCGTCTCCATTCATCATGCAGAGTGAGCGCTCAGCCAAAGTCCACTCAAATATTTATATATTCGTGATATAATGCTCAGCAGAAAATATATTCAGTGCCTAAAAAAGACTGATTTTATCAGAAATATTATTGCATATTTCGGCACACATATGATCCACCAGCAGGACGAAATGTGACAATTAATCTGAACCTTCTTCAATTCAGACTGCAGTTCAGTTTGCTAATATACTGAAATAACATATTGACCTTTTAAAAATAAGAGTGGTTTAATAAAGGTTGAATTAAGTGTTTAAATTAAATCCATAAGCTTTCCTCACATGCATATATTCAGTAAAATGGTGGTTGGTATAAGACTGTACTTGAAAATAATGAGAAATAATTAATATAAAGTAGAATAAGTTATATCCAAATTAGAATGAAAAACATATTAAAACAAATGATTCTGTAAAATAAAGCATACATATATTTAAAGTCTCAATCGCAATGTTGATTTCTGTATCTAGGGGGTTACAGTCATTTGACAGGATGTATCCATATGTAAAATGGGGTTAAAGGTCACCTATTCACCTATCACTCTGAAAGTTTCAGGAACAAAGATTCTCTCTCTTTTTGTCCTGATCCATTTCTATAAAAACCTGTCTGAAAATGAGCTGATCAGATTTTGGACACTTTATGATGTCATAACGATTTGTTGGCTTGTGTAACCATTAGCCAATCACCAACCAAGGTAACACCCCCCCCCACACACACACCTTATCACCTGAATCTCCTCCTAGAGCTCCATTGTGTTCTTTGTAACCAAATCTCTCTCAGAGGGGCGTGGGGAGGGGCTCCTTATTTTCATCTAAAGTAACAGACAGAGAATCAGCACTTTTGAAACAGGGCTGAAACAGAGGGGATTATGGGATGCTGCAATGATCTGTTTGGTGTTTGGAGCCAAACACTTCAGAGACATGTTTTGTATATATCTGAGAGCTATAATATATTGATGAAAAACAGTATAATAGGGGAACAGTGTAATAACAATGTAGTATTGGTGTTACATTGATTTAAATGGGTCTGATAACAGTGCAATACCAGTGTAATGTAGAAAATAGCAATCAATTCATTTTCCAAAAATGCATTAAAGTGTACAAATCAAAAAGGTGGTAACCTGCGAGACTGTACTAATACAAACATGTGAGCACGAACAGCTCATTAAAGGCTTCAAACCATTTTATTATTTCCAACTAATAATATCTACTTTCCAGTTTGTAGAAAAAGATCTGGAAAGCAACAAATCGTCAGAGCTGATTTCAGACATCCTGAAACAGGTAAGTGCGGCTGCACTCAATCCTGCCAAAGTCTTCTAAACATAAAACAGTTATCAATTGAATAAACTAATATGTGTCCTTTGTGTTTCCCGCAGACATGCCTTCACTCTTTGTGCCGGAAGTTTCCTCCGTCAGCCAAATACAGGAAGCTGTTTCTCTCTCAGCTCATCAAACGGGTTGGTTTCCATCCGTCTGTCCCTCATAGAAAATATATTTATATACATCTGTTGATAATGCTATTGTAGTTACTTTAGTTTCTTATAATGTCTTCTAACTCTCCAGGAGATAATAATGATATTTGGGACTTATTATAGAAAAATTCCCTGTGAGACTATTATTATTATTAGTTTGTTTAAGAGGTGAACTATGTAACATTTTAGCATTAGAATGTGAAAAATAACTATACTTATGTTATTTATATCTTGTACAGTTGTTTATTTACAGTATCCTAATGTTTTTTAGAGAAATGTGTAATTGTTATCCGTGTAACAGTGAGTTTCATCTAGTCTCCTGTGTGGAGTCCTATTAGCATTATTCCAATTGTATTTCAATGTAAATACTGCTATATTTGACTATATTTTTCAATGCTATTATAGTTTTCTTAAAACAGTTTTGTATCTGTCTTTTACATTTTTGTTTTACTTTTATGTATGCACCACAACACCAAGTCAATTTCCTCGCACGTGTCAACCTACCTGGTAATAAACCTGATTCTGATTCTCTGCCAGAATCTGTCAAAATACACTTTTGATCCAGTTTCAAGCCACATTCTTACCATTCAACATACATCTTAGTAGATAACCCATCAAAAGCATGGGACAAACACCTATTTGTAATGTAAAAGCAGTGTTATACTCCTCCCTACAGTAATGTGTTTAATATTGTGTGTCTGTGCAGCAGGAGGCGGCGGGCTGCGACCCTCTGGACGAGCTGTATCGACGCTCTGGCTGAAGTGGTGGGAGCTGAAGACACCAGCGAGTGCTACAAGAGCTACCTACTGGTACTTTAAGAGCTTCCTTTGGCTTTTTGCTTTTTAACGTTCCAAGAACTCAAGTTCAAAGATATTTATGTGGGTTTAAAGAACATATTTAATCTTTGAAATACTCATTTCAGGGATAAATCTGTTGAATTGTATTATACAATCTTTAAATAAGGAATACAAAAAGGATATTCAAGAGTTGAGTTGCAGACAGATATTCCAGTGTTGTTGTCCTCTCCGCAGCCCGGCGGGGACTCGGTCAGCCTGAGGGAGAGCGTGGCTCTGATCTCAGACGGGACCACGGGCCTGGTGACGTGGGAGGCCGCTCTCTTCCTCACTGAGTGGGCTCTGGAGCACCGACAGGCCTTCAGCGGCAGGTACCCAGCACCAGGAGACCTTCAGATATACAGAGAAATCATTGTAGTCAAAAGATCTGCATCCTGCAAGACTCAGAATTCGATTTATTTGACTCTGATTGATCCTCTTTTCATAACGTTGACATTTTCATTCTAAATCAACGTTTGAAAGGCGTGCAGTTGATTTCACAAATTGGAGGTACTCATACTACATTACCTGAGCAGTTTGACTTTATACTACTTTATACCTCTCTTCCACTACATTTCTGAAGTCAATATTGTACATGTTTTACTCCACTGCATTCCTTTGACAGCTTTAGTTACTTTATAGATACAATATATTAGCTTAAACTAAATATAAATGAACTAATAAATAAACATTGACATTTAATTAAAGGTTAATATATTCAGCAGCAGTATATAGAGTAATTAAAATGAGCTCCAACTTTACAGCTGTTATAGACACATTAATGAATCAATAACCATAATCCAGTGCCTTAATATTTGATTCTGAAATAGGCTATTACACATGAGTACTTTTACCCTTAGTAACTACATATACTTACATTATACTTACATTTTAATTGAGTATTTTTACATTTTAGTATTACTTTAATACGCGAGTACTTCTTCTCCCTCTGCATACTCACACAGTTAACCCCACCCCCCCTCTCTGCAGGACGGTGCTGGAGCTGGGCAGCGGGGTGGGGCTGACCGGCATCACCATCTGTCGCTCCTGCAGCCCGAAGAGGTTCGTGTTCAGCGACTGTCACCCCCGGGTGCTGCAGACGCTCGAAGACAACGTGCGGCTCAATGCTGTGACGCAGAGGGAGCCCCCCCCCGTCACCGTGCAGGAGCTGGACTGGAGCACGGCGACGGAGGAGCAGGTCGCTCGGATCGAAGCCGATACCGTCATCGCTGCAGGTCAGAGATCAGGGTCCAGAGGTGGAATGTTAATAGTTAAAAAAGAGGAAACCTACATGCAGATGTTCTCATCATGTGAACAACACCTTGTTCTTTTTTTAATACTGTGAGCCGTGTTCATGCTCAACTCTGACTGCTTTTGGCACACGTCTGCACAGCGCTCCACTTTAGAATATAATACACTGTAGTTTGCCATTTACTCATTGTGCTAAGTGTTTTTTGTATTTTAGCTTTTACGGTTATTTGTATAGTTAAATACAAATTTGGTGTAAATACTTGTCTTTAGCATCCTTTTTAATGCTAAATTGTTTCTTAAAAATACTTATTTTATTATACTTATATATTTCCTTTTTTTTTTTACCTACTTTGCAAATTGTTTTTTTCCGATTGTTTATGTTCGCACGACCAGATACCAAAGCAAATTCCTTGTATGTGTAAAGGTACCTGGCAATAAACTTGATTCTCTCTCTCCCCCCCCACCCCCTTGCAGATGTGGTGTACGACCCGGAGGTTGCAGAGAGTCTGGTGAAGCTGCTGAACACCATCCTGAGCTGCTCCAATCCTGACATCTACATCTGCTCCACCGTGAGAAACCCAGAGACCTACAGCGGGTTTAAGACGCAGCTCGGTGAGAACCTGTTCTTTTTATTTTACTGATGATATTCTTTCCAGTATAAGCAGCATATTTCTGGTTTTATAGATCGTTTTTTCCCCTTCTTTGTAATACAACATTCATACACACATCAATAGAATGTGTAATGCTTAAGTGCTTAAAATAGAGCCCTGAATAAAGTGAAGAGACCAATGCATTTTTTTACATCGCTTCAAGTCTACTGCTTCTTTGCTAAAGAATCGCACTTGAACACACCACAAAGACGACAGGCATATACAAGTCTTGTAAAAAAGGTTTAAGATTTTTAACGATTAAAAAACCGGTTGGTTCAAACGCTGTTGTAATAACTTTTGCAAATTCAGATTTAAAAATGACATGTACTTAATATTGAAGATATTTTGTGCAAATGTAAATACTTTGGAAAAATGGTATTGTGTACGAAAGATGATTATTGATATCTCCCGTTTTCTAGGCGCAACACAAGCAGCTTACGACTTTAATTATATTTCACTTACATGACTTATGAACGGTATTTGATTTGTTAATTATTAGATATACTGAGATCTCTTGTGGGTAAATCCGAATGATTTTTATTTTATGAGGGCTTTAATGCCCTTAATATCATGAGGTGTTCTGACTGAATGTGTTTTATTTTGACAGAAAAAGCAGGAATCAGCCATCGGGTGATGACAGGAGCCGTCAGCCACGTGTTCCCTTACAGCAGAGGCTCTGCTATAGAAATGATCCAACTGTACAGATGACTGTAGCACAATAAAGATTTTATTTACAAATTTACATCGTATCAAAGTGTCCTTTTTATACATTCAAGTGCTCTGTAGTACTACAAAAATAGCTGGAATCAAACGTTTGTACTTTATCTCACCTGTGTTGCTGCTGCATCTCATTTTTTAAAGTTAATCAGACTCATTCCTTCCTCTTTAATGTAACGAGGCAGAATTCAAAAGGTGAGATTTAGATGCGTTTTTGGTCTGAAAAATGAGTATTGTCCATTAAATGTCCCTCCTGGTGTCCCTCAGGGAGCGGAGAGGAGAGGTAGGACATTCTGGTCCCAGTTCTCGTCCCAGCCTGGCCCCCTGCTGCGCCGCAGGGTCATCCTGAAGGCCCCGAGCTGGCCCCCTGACCCGGGGAACTCTGAGAGCAGAGACTGAAACAGACACGATCAGATTTATTTCAAAAGCCATGTTCCTCACTAAGAACATTTATGGCTTGTTCAAACGTTTTTAATATCATTTTAGGTGATTTAATGCATTTGGCTTACATCCTTAATCTACATATTAACATATTGAAAGTGTAACCTCAGCTTCTCTAATAAGTGTATGATAACATGTGTGTCCAAAATCCAGACAATCATAGTCTTAAAAGAAAAGAAATTACCCCTGAATTAAAACCACCATTTTGTATTCCATGGACATTGTACAGATTACACCACAGTGTAAAATCATGATCATATCTTTAAATGAATATATAGAGACTTGGCTTTGAACCTTTTACTTCTGATGTTACCCTATAAGACAAACATGCTATTTTCCTGGTTTCCTGCACAACAAAATCAAAATGGATCCAATTCAATGTTCTTGATCATATCAGACTGTGAACGAATGACACATTTCCCTTAGCTTTAAGTGTTCTTTTCATCCAAATGTATTATATGCTGCAGTTTTGATCAGGACTGGTATAGTTCTGATTCGCCTCAGTTACAGTGGAGAAATAATATAAATATATATGAATTAATGGTTTTAGGGGGAGTTTCTCTAAAAAGGTGAAAATACATTTAAACTAGTAATTGTACAAAGTAATTGTGATAAGCTGTAATCTTTGCTAAAGGTGTTAAAAAGTGATTTAACCACCGTGAACATGTGTCAAACGTGTGTACTGAAGTGAAACCTTCTTTTAACCTTGATTTAGCTCAGTAATCACCTCTGTGTTGAGAACTTGTTGATACAAATTAAAATCGTGGACAGAAACTAAACCATGAATTCAAGTATTCTGAACGTTCTTTATCTGATTTTTGTCTGTATTCTGGAAACATGTATTAGTCTCACCTTGAGCTGCTCAGCGAGCTCCTGAGCGTCTCTGAAGATCAGCCCGTTCTCCTCGTGCTTCACCAGCTCGTGTAAACTGAGGGAAGAGAGGTGTCATGTCAGCTCTCAGAGTGACCCATCCCTCCATAGTTCTTTCTGATACCTAGTACCTTTGTTATTGTTATTTTATCAGTGTTTAAAGTGAAAGCAGACTCACCAGTGGAAGTGGATGGCGCAGACGGGCAGGCAGCAGCCGAACATGTCCACCACCTTCATGGGGAGGTCCAGACCGCTGGAGGACTTGTGGAGACACACACCCAGATCTGCTGAGCCTGATAGGAGACACACACACACTGAATTATAATTCCCTCTGTTCTCTTACCATTTTGAGGCAGCCATGTGAGCAACTTGCAGACATTTCCCCACATGCTTTAAGTTTGTAACACGTTTTCATTTGAATTACTTGAGATATTTTGCACAATTCAGTATGTTTCAGTTATCAGATTGTTGACAGATTTGCTTAGTTAGCTTTGATACTAACACACATTTCAGTTTTACAGATGACATCTCTAAAAACAAAATCATTTCAGGGTTTTTGTTATTGTAATTTTTCTTTGACACAAATCGTTCATAGTCTTCTGACAGGCTTTAAACAAAAGTTTTACATTTATGGTAAGAGTTATTTTATGACACAGTAATCCATGTCCCTTTATTTTCCCACCGGCCTTTGACTGTATGTTTTGATTATTATTAATTGCTCAGACTTTAAAAGAAAAAGTTTTAGAGAAACCTCAGGTTATTGTGAGCCCATTGCTTCTTCCAACATGAGCTCAATGTGTTGAATTGTCTTAAAAATAATCGTAACGTATTTATGTCTCACCCAGTAACACAGGATAGTCTTCGGCCTCCAGCCACGGTGTGCAGATCTGCACATGCTCCAACTGCAGAGAGTCAATCAGCTTCCTGTAGTACTCCTTCTGAGGACCTTTACCTGCACAGAAACACACACACACACACTAATAAAACCTTTTGAAATCAGAGCTTTGGTGTAACCGTGCAGTGCAAAGAGTTACCTGTGATCACACAGACTAAAGATGGCAACGAAGCTCCTGCTTTTATAAAACCTTCATAATCTGTGGGGCAAAAAAACAGCGGTGAGACTGTGAAACTCAAATAATTCTATTTCAAGCACAGAGTCAACTTTTAAGAATGTTAGAAATGTATAAAACATATTTGGACCATCTCAACCCAGAATACAACTGATATTAATTCAATTGACTGCAAACGGTGGAAGAATTAAAATCCTTTACTTATGTAGAAGTAATAACTACACACTGTAGAAATATGCTTTCACACCTTCAAGAGCCTTCAGTAGGACGGAGAAGTCTTCGTCCTCTGTGGAGAGAAGAGCCATTTAAAGATGGAAGCAGTCAAATCGGATTTAATCTAAAGAGTTCAAACAGAAACTAAAACAACGTTAAAACAAATGTATTCACAGCATTAAATTAAAAAGATATCAACAAATTATGAAATAAAAAATCCCCAAAGCCAAAAGTAACCCACTTAAAAGCTTGTTACATTTGCCTAATCATTTATGATTATTATTTGACAAACTAAAATATAATCGCAGTGAAATATGACAACATATATTTGCTTCATTCTAACTCAAAGGGAGCTTTGAGTGTAAAAAATGACATCTTGCTAATATCTGCTGACGTAATGTATCTGCTGACGTAATGTATCTGCTAACATCATGTATCTGCTAACATCATGTATCTGCTAACATCATGTATCTGCTAACATCATGTATCTGCTAACATCATGTATCTGCTAACATCATGTATCTGCTAACATCATGTATCTGCTAACATCATGTATCTGCTAACATCATGTATCTGCTAACATCATGTATCTGCTAACATCATGTATCTGCCAACATCATGTATCTGCTAACATCATGTATCTGCTAACATCATGTATCTGCTAACATCATGTATCTGCTAAACATCATGTATCTGCTAACATCATGTATCTGCTAACATCATGTATCTGCTAACATCATGTATCTGCTAACATCATGTATCTGCTACATCATGTATCTGCTAACATCATGTATCTGCTAACATCATGTATCTGCTAACATCATGTATCTGCTAACATCATGTAATCTAAATCTACAAAAAAAAACGAATCGTATATCATATAAGGAAAAAGAAATCCCAAACTAAAAGTATCCATCTTAAGCGCTTTGAGCACCAGGAAAAGCGCTATATAAATCAAATGTATTATTATTATTATCTACTTGTAGCACATCTTAATAATACAAAACAAGCATATTGAATATGTGTAGTCAGTAAATGCTCCCTGTGTCTCCCTCCTCTCACCGGTCCAGCTGGTGCTGCTCAGCAGCAGCGCCGGCCGCTCCGCCCTCAGCGTCACCGCCTCCTCACAGAGATCACACTCTGAGAACACCGACCGCTCCACCTGCTTATCCTCCTCACACCTGGAGAAACAGAGGAGGAATGTGACAAGTAAAGTATTATTTCGACATACTTGTATTTGAGTATTTCAATTTGCTACATAAAATGGTGTGAGTATGTCATAATTTGATAGCTGAGGTTAATGTCAATGGAGTCTGGTGGCTTTGAGGAAATAATTGTAATAGTATGTTGTATCTAGTGATGGTGAGATAAAGCCTTATGAAGCTTTGAAGCTTTCCAGCCAATTGGTTCGCAAAAGGGTTCATCTCATGAGGCTTCATCATGGGCTTCATCTGAACACAAACCCCCTGTTGGTCAAAGTGTGTAAAACAGGCAGATTTGACATCTCAATAGTGTGCTCCATCATCTCATACCGAGTTCCCAATGAGTAAAGCCTTAGAATAACTCTAAACAACGAACATTAAATCATATTTTCATGTTAACAATATTGTGTTTAATGATTGTGATTGAAAAGCCTAAGGAGGCTGGTAAACATTGCAAAGAGGGATTTGTATTCCTTAATAATATTCTTAAACGTAACCATGTTGTAGCCTGAGAAAGGCTAAACCATATCAAAGAATACATTTATTAACTACATTATCACATTTAGCTGTAGCTTTTATAAACAACAAAAGACGCATTGACCAGTTGTTGAACCAGGGACCCTGCGGTTGTGAGTCAACTGCTTTCCAGCTGAGCCACAGCACACACGCTGAATCTATCTGAAAATACTGGATCCTATTTATTCCTGTATTTATTCATTTATTCATGTTTTTATTCCTACATGTATTTATGCTTGTATCTATTTATACTTATGACATATTCCGACCTCTATATAAGTGAGGGTCTGAGCTCTCTTGATTCCATCGTGTCACCGGGCCCGGGTACAGGAGGGGTAATATCGTTCATTATACATCCATGGGTATTATGAGCGTTGTGGTTCAACGGTTCAACCGATCTGAATGGCTTCCTGAAGCAGTCACGTGGTATTGACAGGCAGCGAGGCTTCGTTTGTCATCGATGACGTCACTGGCCCAAAACGATACAAGCCTCGATACAAGCTTCACAAAAAGCTTCGGGGATTACTCGCCACACGCTCCGAAGCCTCGGCGCAGTACGTAACATCACTAATTTGATATGTTATTACATTATAACAGTTGACCAAATCCTTGTTGATTATATTTATTATATATTCACTTCGCCAATTCACATGCCTTGGAAAAGAGTTGAAAAAGATCAGCAATCAATATTGTGACAACTGCAAATCTTTTGAATGTACCCATTAACACTGAAGATCAAAACCAGATGTTAGTGTTTCTTTGTCAAGATGGAGAGGAGCATTAACAGATATGAAAAGCCGCAGTAGAGTTCCTCACCCTCTGCTCTGGAACTGAGGATACGTGTTGGCGAGTCTCATGAAGAGCCCGTGCTGCAGCTTCAGAGGAGTCTCTCTGAAGATGGAGGGCGGACAGTCGTACAGAGTGGTCGCCCTGCAAACAGTCCAAATGTTTTATTATTACATCACTTAGTTTGCAATTAATAACTTTGATGGCAGGCTTTGGCTGACTTTATTGTCCATATTTGTTTTCTTTTACCGGAACTTTGTTTTAATTGTGCCAAGTCATGTATACAGTACCACAGCTTTAAGTCGCAACTTCCTGATTGCCATAGTCAATGATATCGAGAAGCTGGAAACAGCAGGGGAAAAGTGTGTGTGTGTGTGTGTGTGTGTGTGTGTAAAAATGACATACTTGATGCCCCAGTTTTTCTGCAGGTCATCCTTCATTGCATTGGTGACACACAGGTTACGAGAGGCCAGCGGGCCGAAAAAGTGCTCGTACCTGGAAGAATAAAAACAATTTTTTTTAGAATATATGCACACCAGGATGTCAGGCATGACTAAGAAATGGATCTGCAGCATTTTCTTATCAGCTTCTAAGATGTGAGCTATTATTTTGCATATCATAAAGTAAAACAACCCCCGGGATCACACACTCACCACTTTGCGAGCCTCACCACAGGGTGCGTGTCCCCGTGGCTCAGAGCCATGATGGTGTAGCCGTAGTTGTGCCAGTCGATGACGAACCTGCTGCCACGCAGGACGCACACGAGCCACGCCACCGCGATGCCAGGCAGCCCCGGGGGATTCTGGGAAACAATCACAGTCATTACTAGCATAGGCCGACATTCCTTTAAAAGCGTACCTGTGTGACAGCTGGTTATCTTTTAAATGCAGTATATCCATCAATAGAATAGAATGTATTCCAAAAATGTTCTCGTACCTGCATTAATATATGAGACTGTGTTTCCATCCTCAGCAGCACGTAAAGCAGCTGCAGACACTGGAGGATCACCTTCGTCACATACGTCAGGATTTTTGGTCCCACTAGAAAAAAAGCAACAAAGCACTTGTGTAAAAAACATTATAACATTTCTGGGAATTTTTCATTACTTTTGAAAAACATCAAATGTGAAATAAGATGTTTACCGTGTACTCCTTTAACCTCTGCTATTGGCACCAGCTTTATCTTTTCCTCTCTCAACACTTCCTGATGAGGTTTGGTATCTAACATTTAAAATACATTTAAAAATCTGAAAATAAAACACTTACAGTTTTTTGTGGTCTTCTGCATTAAATAACTTTTGTTGCACTACTCAACTTGTGAAGAATTGTAATTTTGACACTTTTTTTTAGTACTTGAGTATTTACCTTTTTGGGTATTTACATAAGTATAAAGTAGCATTACACTACATCACAGAGAAAACATATTGTATTATACTGAACATTTATTTGAAACTTAAAGGCTTGCATTAAAACATTTGAAATACAGTATAATGCTGTACTACACTATTGTAAGAAGTTAAATTATGGGATTGAGTTCGCAACAGTTATGCATATGTATAGCATATGTGTTTACTATATTACATACAATGGTGTATAAACAGTTACTTAAATGTAGGTTAAGGTCCCTTAGTTACACACTCCACAGTTGTTGACAGCATCAGGGGACGTTTTGGGAAACAGAGGAATTTATGAATGACACATTGAAAGTTTATTTTTCATCTAATAAACCCTATAAAAGTCATATCATATCCGTGTTTGTAACTTACCTAAAAACCCGACAAAAGTAACATTATACCCGTGTTTGCTGAGGGACAGAGCGTGATACTGCATCCGGGGACTGCGACCCAAATCCCCCAGCACCAGAACACACACACGCCGCTCAGTTCCGCCGTCCCTCCGCCGCAGCCACAGCGACCCCAGCCCGGTAACAGCGGTCAGAAACACAACCGGCCATGTTACACCCGAACCGGCGCCATAAAACCCAATTAAAAGCGCAGAAATGAGCGCAAACACAGCGAGAAAAGTTGTGCAGGTGCCGGGGGTCGCCATGTTTGTTTGTTATGACGTAACTCAGCGCAGGAGGAGGAGCTTTATATTTAAAGGGGAAGCAGAGTGTATGGTGCATTCATGGACAATAAAACATTAGGTAGTTAAACTTCACAAATACCAAATTAGAAACGATATTAGAAACGTTATTCTTCTTTAAAGATTTCCTCATGCAATTTGACACCTTTATCACGTCTTCTTTAGGTATTTAAATGTTGTTCTTAACATATTCCTTAAACCCATATCAAATTATAGTGAACTTGGGGGATAACTTTTATTATTTTTACTTTATGGAAGTAAAGCGTACCATAGAGTATGGTATAAAGTCGAGTTTGTTTTCGCAATTACGTCACGGCCTCCTCTCCTTCTTCCCATCCCGTTTGAGAAAAGAGACAGCCTGTCATCCCTCCTCTCCCCTCCTCTCCTCTCCTCTCCCCTCCCATCCCCTACCCCTCCCCTCCCTATTTACCGTCCCGGAGCCTCCACACAGTCTGACTGAGAACATGCAGGCTGCGGGGCATCAACTGGCCGCAGTGCTGGCTCTGTTTGCCGCAGTGTGCGGAGGGTCGCAGGCCGAGGTGATCGATGACATCCTGGGCAGCCTCTCCCGGGGAGCCGCCTTCCTGGAGAGTCAACACGAGCACATCAACCTGGACGGAGTGGTCGGGTTCCTCATGCTGCAGGGTGAGAACCAAAAACAGAGCCTCCTGTGTGTGTGTGTGTGTGTGTGTGTGGTGTGTGTGTGTGTGTGTGTGTGGTGTGTGTGTGTGTGTGTGTGTGCGCGCGCGTGCGTGTGTGTGTGTGCGCGCGTGCGTGTGTGTGTGTCCACTCAGCTGCAGTAAACATCTGGAAAAATCTTTGTATGTGTTGGTCAAGGGCAGTGGTAAAATGTAACTACATATATTTATACAATAGGCCTACTGTACTTAAGTGCAATTGTGAGGTACTTGTAGACCTACATTACTTGGGTATTTATATGCTGCATGCTTTACTCGACTACAACTCAGATTGAAATATTGTACTACATTGATCTTCTTGATTTAGTTACTTTCATCTGCTTGCTTTAGTTACTTTATAAATTAAGTCAATGGATAATTTTTGTGAATAAAATAAACATATTTATATAAACATAGATTAATAATGCCAAAGTTGTGTAAATATTCGACAGATAAGTAATTCATGCAGATAATTAAATATTATAGCTTTGTCATTAGTCAAATAAAAGTAGGCTATAAGAGATTAAACTACCAAACTATTCAGTGGTATAATTGCATGCCCTTCATATAATGGGAAGTTTTTAGGTAATTTTTATGTTATTTAAAATGTGAAGCAAGCGCTACAGTTTGCATGTGGATGCTGTTAGCTGATTTTTTAAAATCTTATTTTAATGTATTTTTGTATATATTGTCTTTTTTACGATATCATCCTTGTTTGTGTCCGTAACAAATTCATTTCTACTGCTGTTAAAAGTAAGGAATCCAATCTTTTGATGTAGTGTTTTTGGAAATTCAATATGTCGATGTTCCTTCTTTCACATTTTGATCAACTATAAAAGTCAGTATCAGATACCAGCAGAATAAATGCTGCTGCTTTTTGACTTAAGTAAGAAAGGTGTATTACAACAGTGTGAAAGAGGGAAGGACATGTGCAGAAATGTGCCAGTCAGAATAAAAAAGGAAAGGTTGCAAATGTTATTATTGTATAAAGATTTCCTCTGCTGCTGACTGTGTCCCAGCTGAGCTGAAGGAGGCGGTGCGCACGTGGCCCCACAGCGACCCGGTCAGCTGGGCCCAGAGGACCTCCACCGTGGTTCTGGTCAAACGTTTGGACCGGAGCTTCGAGAAGGCCGTCACCGCCCTGCAGCAGAACGACCCCAAGTACTACAGAGGTGAGCAAGACTCCATTACCCAGGAGCCCCGTAGTGTGATGTTTGAACAGAAAAACAAACCCTTTTACTCAACGTTACATCTTAGAGATTAAACATGTAAACACAAAATTGGGTCTTAAATGTCTTTAAGTATATTTTGATCTTGATAAATCTAAAAATAAGTAAAGAAAATAAATAATAACATGTTACAGTTTTCATGGTACATTTGACATAGACTAATGCATAATAAGGAACAATTCCCTCAATATTAGTGTATTTTTTTGTGAATTAAGAAAAATAAATAAGAATAAGTAACTTACAAACATAAAAATCCTACAAAATGAATGCTTACCTTTCAGGTACTGACACTTTCTCAAAGGAGAGCACAGGATGTGTGATTTACAGAGCAGATATATAATGTAGTAGAAAAAGAACATACAATTATATTTCTTCATTAATAAATGGTCTGATGGTAAATACCTTTGTGTGTATGCTGCAGAGTTTGAGCCCCTGCTGTCGTCGAGCTTCTATCTGATCCCTCAGGAGTGGCAGTCCACGGACACCAGCCTGGTGTATTCCTCCATCCTGAGCACCGAGTGCTACGACGAGCAGCTCAGCGACAAATGTTTGACGCTGCTGCTGGGAACCTGGTACGAACACTTATTGTCAGAGACGAAAAAACAACAGGGCAAGACTTCATTACACAGACAGAAATATCAGAAAAAAATGATGCGACCTCGACAGAATGAGGGTTTAAAACATGTCTTCCTGAAACAAAAAAGTATCTGTGTTTGTAAACCTCGGTCTAAAAGATTCAAACATATTTAGTATCCTATGCAAAGCAGCAGCAGCGTTGGTGATAATAAATATAATCCCCGGCTTCTCCAACATACAACATGCCTTTCTTCAAATTTGGCACAAACATCCAGTTGGACTCAAGAAATAATTGATTAAAAGTTAACCCCACAGACACAAACAAGAATTCAAACGCTAATTATGGTAATTTGACACGGATAGAAAATAGGATAAAATTATGAAGTGATGACATTTTGGGCAGACCTTGGATTATTTGATAGCTATGCCTTAAATTGTTACACTGTTGTTAGCAGGATGTCAAATACATAATGTAACTTGTCCACATGAACTATGATATACTATAAACTCTTCACTATCAAGATATTGATAGGGGTCTTGGTGGAGTGTGAGTGCATTTACGTGCGTGTGTGTGTGTGTGTGTGTGTGTGTGTGTGTGTGTGTGTGTGTGTGTGTGTGTGTGTGTGTGTGTGTGTGTGTGTGTGTGAGCAGGAAGATGAACGGGACGCCCTGCATCGTCACCAAACCCTGCCGGGACACCATGACACGTTTCGGCTGTCCGCACTACTCTCTGTCCCACCAGCTGCTCTACTTCATGATCGGGAAAATGGTGAGAAGTTAAACTATCGAAATATCTCTATCACTCAAAATCATTGGTAACCTTCACCTCCAAATGCACTAAGTTCTGAGCAGAAGCTAAAATAAAAACATGAATAATTTATTATCACTATTAATACTCTGCTGTGTGCGTGGGTCTCAGAGAGGCTGCACTAACCTGCTGAAAGGAGACACCAGAGAGTCCCGCGCCAACATGACGGAGGGCAGGTACCAGAATATCTACTGCTCCAACATGATGAAGGCCAACCAGGACATCTTTAGGGACGGGATCACCGAGCAGACGGTTGACATCTTCATTGAAAATAGTGAGTATATTATTTCAAATTCTTCTTCATTCTTTTTGTCACATTCGTGTGAACGCGCCATCTTCGGGAAGCCTTGAGGGATGTTCTTCAAATTCAGCCAAATGTAAATTTAGACTAGGATGAACAGATTATATGTTGCTGCTCAAAGGTCAATGGACAGTTCGACCTCACAAAACACGTTTGTGCCTTAACTCAAGATCCAATACAGTACACCATCTGTTACAATTTCTTACACATTAACAGTATGTCAGTATTTTGGACATTCAGATGAAAAAGTTTGCATGTAGTGTGTATTACATCATGTATTTCCTATACATATTTCAAACTGCATATATTTTACATAGGCCTATTTTATAGTTTGGACTATCTTGAGTTCCTCTGCTCTTCTTCAACAGTCCTGATTTGTGGATTGTCTGGTTTCTCCGACTTCTACAAAGCTGATTGGCTGCAGCACATCCTCCGGCTGCAGGACGAGGAAGCGGGCTGCTTCGGGAGAGACAGTACGTGTTTAAAAAGAAAGTTTTAATATGCAACTGAATTGAAAATATCTCATTATCTCTAGGTACTGTAGCGTTACTGTCAAAGTACATGTTAAAGCTTAATCTCTTCAGTAAAAGGAATACTGCACACGAATAATCTACTCTACTCTAAAATACTCTAGTCTATTGTTCGAGTACTGTTTATACGCAATTTTAAGGGCAGTTTTTGTTAAAAATCCAATGTGTTAGTGAAGTATTAAGCATTGATTGGATAAATGGGACTTGTATTATACTGCACTAGTAGTATGAGAGTTTTCATGTACGGCAGTTGTGCTGTTGTTAAACGCCACTCCCTTTTATTTTTCAATTCAATACTTTTCTTAGTTTTTTTTCAAGTATCCAAGGTTACATGGGGTTAATGTTGTATATAAAATGATTTTGGGGTTGAATTATTCCTTTAATGTTATACTAAGTATCCGTCCTGTCTAGTGGAGGTTAAACATATTAGTAAATGGAGAGATAGTATTATTACTTGAGAGATGTTACCTGCTGTTTCTCAGAGAGCATCATGTCTCAGATCATCGGAGACGAGCTGCTAGAGCAGCTGCAGCCTCACCGGAGAGTGAAGAGGAGGGAGAAGATACTTCCAGGTACTCGCATGTTATATCATATTAAAGTCCAATAGATAGGAAATGATTGCAATTTGAGCTGTGAAAGTTGAAGAAAAATAACTAATCAAAGCTAACTTTCTGCCGAATATAAAGAAGACAGCTTTTATCAGATTCTTGATCCCGTACCAGTGTGACTGACCTCACTCCTTTTGTTATTATTATTATTATTATTATTATTATTATTAACACTTTTTTGGTTTAAAATAAATCTGAAGTCATTTTACTGCTGTTATGTGTTGACTTTCATAAACAGTTTGAATGCAAATGAAGTTGCAGAATCGACTTATGGTATCTTTGTGTTATCATTTCCTGTTTCTGGCTCTTCTCTTCATTTTTATAAAAATAATAATGATAACTTGTTCCCTCACTCATTGCTTCACTTTGAATGTGACTCCTCAGACGGCTGCTCCAGTCACATGACGGCGGTGGCGGTGGGCGCTCTGGGAGGATACCTGAACTACTACCTGGCAGAACAGGACATAACCAAGAGGCCAATCTCCTGAACGCCCCCCCCCATCAGGTAGCGATGCTCTTCACTGAGAGACTCCCGACACAACATGATGTTAATGAACATAGGTTGTAAGATGAGGAAAATAGAATGTAGCCGTTTGTTGGGCACCAAACTACATGTATTCATTGATTCTAATGATCTTTAAAGTATATTAACCCCAAACAATGTATCTTTGGAAAGTAGCGATGCTCCCATTCAGCGGGAAACCATAGTCGCATTTACTCTTTAAAAAGTAGCTTTAGTAGTTTGTGTCTACAGAACCAGGAAGTACCTTTAGGATGTTTTTTCTGTCTGTGATGCAACAAGCTAGCTAAAGATTGAACCTTTTTTTTTTTATGAAACCCGGATAACAACATGTCAGATTTAGCTTTTTACCACACGGCTTCTTAAACACTTCCACGTGTTATGGTTGAATGTATGCTGACCAGTGCTGGAAAGTAACTATGTTTATTCACTCGAGTTTATTTTTCTTAAATTCTATTTCCTGCTACTTTATTATTATTTTATTATTTATTTCTATTCCACTTATAAAAGGTGGTAAATATTGTATTACATTACATTTGTGTGATAGCTTTAGAAGATTCAGATTAATAATAGGAAATATAATCATCAAATAATTGCTAATACTTTGGTTCTTTTACTTAGTAACATTCTAAATGCAGGACTTTTATTTCTATCAGAGTATTCATAGTTGTATTGAGGTATTCGTTTTGTCGTGATGTCATCTCCTGGTTGGTACCTTCGTCTGATTTGATGTAAAAATGTGAGGGGTGCACAATTTGGATTTTCTTAGCGGATACCGGTACCTAATAATGACCTGCTTCAGAGATGAGGGGTTAAACAATAAGTTCATATAGTAGTTTAGGCACACCTGAGGCTAAAGTGTAGCATGTACAGTATCATCTAATACTACAAAGCTCTGACCTAATGTCATCTAAATCTAACTTCTGACTTCTTACACTTCTGACATTGATATTAATGCACTTGTTTTGCTTTCTTTTCCGTGTCTTCTTTTTTTTGGCGGGTCACAAAGCAACTTGTGTAAATGTGCACAACATCCCCGACTGCATCAGAGTGTGTAGATGCTGTACTTGTTAAATGAATTTGGCTTTGTATTATGAGCTACTATTGAATTATCTGAATAAATGATTATAATTATAATAATAGGCATTTACACTTTTTGATTGATACATTTTCTGCACGATGTGTATATTTCTCAGATGCTCCGTCATCATTAAGACAAGAATCTAGGTGGGAAAGACACCGGCTGATTTTGGAGGATGGATAAAAGTATAACAAGGTGTGAGGACTTATAGGAACTTGTTATATTTGATAACTTTATTATTCTGAACATTTTAAAATGGCAATTCTGGCATCCCAATTCAGACCTGGGAAAGGTGTAAACGATTTGAGATGATATTCAATAATCGGGCTATCATTAAAATATACTGACCGTTAATCGTTGTTTCCTTGAGCTTTGTGTCTGCAGGATCTGTCTCTAAAAATGTGTGACTGATTGAAGCATCCCTTTTAAAAGGCCATGAAATATTCACTTAAAGAAAAACATCGTAAGCAGTTTTTTCTTCCAAAAATATCTTTATTTTCTTTAAATTATTTGTAGCTACTGAATATAAAGCTAGCAGGCAGCTGTACAACCAGCACTGACCAAAGAGGACATCTGTAGAGGAGCTTACGTACAAAATGTATCACGTATTCCATGTAAACACAATAAACAAGTCTGCTTTATATATATGTATATATACACATGATATCCTCTACAGCAGTACAAAAGTAGTACTGATAATAAAAGTACTAAATAAATATGAATGTCAGAGAGTCTGTGAAGTGAAGCAAAGACGCCATTACATTGAGAAAGAACACAAACTGATGATGTCACATCTGCTGCAGCCATCTTTTTGCCCAAACTCCCCCGGATTCACTCCATTTCTAAATAACAGCTTCACCTGGGGTGTGAGCTGTCCAAGCGCTGCCCGAAGGAGTCAGAACTGGGAACTGGATTTGATTCCCAGGAATAAGGAGCTTGCACAGCAGGCCTTGTTATGCTGTCTCTGTGCCTTGCTCCATTCTCCTTCAAAGTGGTAAAACACCTCATGTGTTGCTGTGACTCCTGTCACTTGTTCCAGCCAATGACCTCGTAGAAAAGCGCCTTGAGCATTCTGGCCTCGTAGGTGACGGTGTTCTTTCCGATGTGGGAGTGGGTCTCCTCCAGAGGCTGCTCGATGATGGCCGTGACCTCCTTACCGTACACTACAGGCGAGACACACTGATGTTACCTCACACTCAACAACATACCATTTGTTACTTAGGTCCTATTACATATATTGTAAAAATAATTATGTTTATGCATCCTATTTTTTATTGTTGTTATCACTGTCATTTTATTCAGATATGTACACAAATATATATATATGTTTTACAAATTCAAATGAGCGCCTTCACTAGTATATGAGAAGAAGTGGGTTATATATCTTCCCCAAAAGGTCTGTCTCCTACATCCACATAACTTTTTAGAGTTCTCCATAACAATCCCATGACCTTGAGAAAACAAAGGTTGTTTTCTTGTGATAAATGATCTTGTTATCTTGAGAAAGCAGATACTTGTTTTGTCATAAGTCCACATGAATAAACCCATCTCACAAGAAGGCAAGCTCTAGTATCTCTTGACAATAAATGAAATGACTTTCAGGTTTTGCCAGAATGTTGGCCGACACTGGAAGTAGTGTTAGGTTTGTGTCTGGTTTGTTAGTCGGTTTGTCACTGTCGCTTAGCTAAGAAAATAATGATGTTCAGTATACAACCAATTCCGACCTGATGGTGATGCTGCAGAAAATATCCAGGCATAGAGGCTACATCTGGCTTCCTATTTCAGCCAGATTTCAGTTTTATAAATGACTGTCATTTATAAAACTGAAATGTGAAAACATAATGGATCTGCATTTGCTCTCTCAAAGGGATAATAGTGTTTTGTTACAAACTGAAGACATCAATTATTGTCACAGGCCAGCACTTTTGCAGGTTGTGTGTGTTGTGTGTGTGGTTGTGTGTGGTGTGGTGTGTGTGTGGATGCTGCTTACCCTCGCAGTGCTCCAGGAACTGGATACACTCCTGTACCACAGCGTCCCTCAGCATGACCATGTGTTTGGACATGTTCTCCAGCAGGGAGAGGAAACAACGCTTGGCGTAGAACCATGTGTCTGTTCCCAGCTACACACACACACACACACACACACACACACACACACACCACACACACACACACACACACACAACACACACACACACCACACCACACACACACACACACACACAACACACACACACAACACACACACACACACACACACACACACACACACACACACACACACACACACACACACACACACACACACACACCACACACACACACACACACACACACACCACCACACACACCACACACCACACACACACATACACACACACACACCAGCACACCACACACCACAACACACACACACACACACACCACACACACACACTACACACACAATTGTGATATTAAATGTTATTATTCTGACACTAAAGATCATCTCACCTCTATTAATCCTGCAAACTGATGTGTTTCAAAACTTCAGCTGCATTCCTTTTCCCACGCTACCGAGTCCGAAAAGCATTGATTTTGTCCACAGAATAAACAAAATGAGAGGTTATGACTTTAATGTTAGTAAAAGCCAGTGTCTCCGTTTCGGTGGTATTTAGGGTTTGGCTTTACAGAAGGATACGTGGCAGAGAAGTCTTCCTTCTGTTGGAAGGAGTTCAGACATGGCGGTCAGATTGCTTGGTTGAATGTATGTGGCTCCACAGGCTCACATTCCTGGACTCCTCTCTGATTTCACAGTGAATGTGAGTCTATGGTGGGGATTTGTACGAGGCTGAGAGGGGGCAACACTCGGGATGACAGCCTGTGTTCTCAGCTGGAGCTTCAGTGGACTCAGCTGCGACTGGATCAGATCAAAAGAGACTCTTCTCTGGGGGGGTAACTCTTTTTGGTTCAAAAGAATGAATGTTTGTATTTTAAATGAGCACTTTCTTGTAGTTGTGTTTATGGCGCACTGCTCAGACACTGCTTGCTGCACAATGAACAACAAACTATTTCCCTTAAAATATGTATTGAATGTTTACTGTTTTTATTACATGGCTTAGTTGAATACTCAAATCTGATTGGTCAATTTGGACCTTCCAGAGGTTTTACATTTTCAATAACAGACCACTATTAAGGAGAGCAGGCCGTTGCTAAGGAGAATAGACGCTGCTTCGACCGGTGTGCTTTTCTCATTAATGACCATCTCACACGTTGCACATTATCCCTTTCTTAAAGCATTTGCTAGAAACTTTCTAAAAAAGGAACCCAGGGAACAATGGAATAACTGACCTTCTTATTGTAAGGCTCCAGGCTCTTGATGACACGAGATATGCCAAAATCATAGTTTCCCTTAGCACAGTACAGCGTCCTGAAAAACAAACTAATTCAGTCAGAACAGCAATACTTACTAAAAGGTCCTTTTTAACATTCCTTCCTTTTTCTTCCACCTTGAAAGGAACTTGCTTAGGTCAGTTGATACTGTCATACTGGCAATCTGCTGAAAATGTCTTGGTTAAAAGCTTCAGGAAAAGCTCAAAAGCGAACCGTAAGTTGCAAGATTTTTTATACAGATTTGGATAATCGTCAAAAAGTAACTTAGTCTCTTAGTGTCCTCGCCAAACCTCGCAGCTCTTTGGTTTACACACAAAGATTGTGATGAAAAGAACATATAACTGCTGCATATAGGAACAAGGACCTGAGATACATCAGGATGAATCCTGATTGCATGATAAATGAGCTCAGGTTTAACATACATTTGATTATTTCGTTCTTAACATATTTTTTCTGTATTTATTAATGATAGTATTTATTGAACAATGCCTGATGTGTTTATTTGATGATAAACACTTTGGGTCTCCATAAGTGTGAACTTTATAGTAAAGGAACTTTTTTTTGTTCCAGGGCTAACAAAAGCCTGTCTAATACATACAATGAACACGCAGTACTAGTTAATACCATAGACGTATATATAAAGGTGCATGCACATGCACGTGAAATATTTTTAAATCATGAGGTTCTTGGTGGCAAAACCTAATAAGCAACGTGAAAGCAGATTTTTCAAGCTGTAAACTCACCCGATGACCAGGTTGACGATGCAGAGGTGGAACACCTTCTTGTCGGGGTCGTCGTAGGAGATCTGCTCTTCCTCCTTCTCAATCTTCCTCATCAGCTCTTCAGCCTGTAAGACAACGAGAGGAGGAAACTGGAATTTTTATACTGAAGATAAAGATTACGCGACAAACATTATTACCATACAGCAGTGGTTCTCAAAGTGGCGGGCATGCCAGGGGGGGCGCAAGAGACCAGGAGGAAAAATGGTTATAAAAAAAAAAAAAGATTAAAAAAAAAAAGAAATCATAATTTGAAAAATTATTGATTCGAAAATAATATGATGCAGTACAGTACTATTACGTCTGGGTCTCTGTGTTTCATTAAAGCTCGACTGTGTGTGTGTGTGTGTGTGGAACGAGTCATTTTGTGTGAGAGAGAGAGAGAGAGAGAGAGAGAGAGAGAGAGGAGAGAGAGAGGAGAGAGAGAGAGAGAGAGAGAGAGAGAGAGAGAGAGAGAGAGAGAGAGGAGAGAGCGCACCGGTACCGGAGATCGTTGTTGTTAGCTTCTGGTGCTAGCGAGCTACGCTAACGGATATAAGGAGTTTTTTCAACAACAAGGTGGAGGAGAGTCCTCTCCTGTCAGACTGAGAGACTCAGTGAGATAAAGGACTCTCTCAGTGTTATCTCAGTGGGTCTCAAACGTTTTGGTCACCATTAATGTAAACAATTATTTCCGAGGCACACGTTTATATGATCATTGTAGTTACAAAAATAAGAGAATAAATGAAAAACAGCTATGAAATACTAGATGACAGTAAAAAAAAAAAAAAGTTTAAAAGGGTGATTTGTAAAATATCCATAAAGAAAAAGTAAATCTTCAGTTCTGTTTCAAATGGGTGTTGAGAGAGGTATCCATAGATCTCTTCATTTTGCTCTCAAAGTGCACCAGATTGATGCATTTAACTTCAATATTTAAAAATAAATCTTCCCGGGGGAGCATGCCCCCGGACCCCCCTATGTGAGGTCCACACACCACCTGTAAAAATAGCACTTTACCCCTGCTTACACCTATATGCCGTGAGCTGATTATCGAGCCTTCATTGTGACAGTTGCGGGAACACTGTGTATATGCATGGCGAGTGTTGCAGTAGAACATTGCGACAGCGACCGGTACATTAATGGGAAACCCTAAATGTTTGAGCACCCTCTATGAAATGTCAAGCTACCCCACAGAACCCCCAAAAGAAATCTCTGGCGCCGCCACTGAGCCTGACTATTTGTGTTGGGGGGCCCCGACTTTTTTTTTTCTCCAAAGGGGGGGCCGGACAGAAAAAGTTTGAGAACCACTGCCATACAGAGACACAAAGAATAAAAGTAAAATGAAAGTAAAATCCCTCTGAAATATATTTAATTAAAAGTAGTATATAATAGAAAAAGGTGTACTAAATGACAGTACAGAATTTTATGTTAAATTGTGTTCATCTCTGTGAACAGTACCTCCTCATTCTGGCTGGTCAGGATGTAGGACACACACAGGTTGGCCAGGACCACAGCGCTCACATTCAGGATCTACAATGGGACACACAGACACACACAAACACACACATTTTTTGTTAACTTTACAATATATTTACAACACTCAGAATTTAACAAACTTCAAAACCAATCCAGGGTGCGTGCAAGTTTCCACAAACTGATTTGAGGTTATTTAGAATAGAACATGATTAAAACGTCATGAACACGATGATGTTAAAGTGTTTAGCATCATCGTGTGGCACAGGTTCAAACCCCACTGCAGTCAGCATGTCGTTGTGTCCCTGGGCAAGACACTTCACCCCAAATTGCTCCTGTGGGGATTGCCCACAGTATTGAGTAAGTAAGTCACTTTGGATAAAAGCGTCTAACACAGGGGTGTCAAACTCAAGGCCCGGGGGCCAAATCCGGCCTGTGACTTCATTTTATGTGGCCCACAACAGCTCTGAAAGAATATTATGTTTATTATACGGTTACATGCCGATTTACAGAAGCACGTTGCCCATAAACTACATGTCCCACAATGCATCTCAAATTTGACTTTTTTCTCAGAATTTGGCTTTTTTTCTTCAAAATATGCCTTTTATCTTAGAATGTGCCTTTTTGTTAGAATTTCCTTCTTTTTTTTTTACCTTCTTTCTTCAGAATTTGACTTTTCTTTTCAAATCATTGTGACATTCTCACTGAAGAGACTTGCAATTATTTGCCTTAGACTTCTGCTTTCAGACGTAGTTAATTATGAAGTTATTACCCTATCTGATAATAATCCAATGCAGAGGCAATAATGTAATATTATATACATTATTTTATATATATTAAATATTTATATATGTATTTTTATATAGTCTTAAAGTTACTTTGAGTGCAACCATAATGCTGATGTGGCCCGTGATGAAATGGAGTTTGACACCCCTGGTCTAACAAGTGACATGTAATGTAATGTTTAATTTTTCAGTGAGGAAAGAAAACATTCTAGAACCCTCAGCTGAGTGACTGAAGTTCCCTGAAATTGGACGAAAATCATGATTTTCAGATTCAAAACAAAACCAGCACTGCAAACCAAATCAAAAAATCCACACAGCAGAAAAGAATGAAACTCATATCATGCACACATTTCAGAAAACACTGCAGATCGACGCAGAGCTGCTCATCTATTTTTACCGAGGGTTTGCACTTGCAGGGACACTCTTGAATGTTACACTGCTCCACCTGGACAAAAAGGCAAACTGTCAACGATTAGTCCTGACCTCACTCTGACATCGGGGCTGATCCCATGCATTGTGCGCATTTTATCTTCAAAATACTTTTGTTTAAGCGTCTGAAGTTTATGAAGGAGTATTAAGGCCATGAAGGTCATATTGAGAGAAACTTCTTCAATTCTCAATCTCAAAAAAGAAACTAACTAAGATGTATGACTTTATAATCTCAAAGTATTTTGGAGTTGTACATTTACCAATTTAATGTTGTAATTTAGTGATTTTTTTTCTCATGTATTTAATTATTTAATCTTAGAAAATATCCAACTTGGTTTTTCCTAAGATTCAGACTTATTCTCTTTTCTCTCAGACTACCACCACTTTCACACCAGCTCCATCATCATGATTTAGTTTGACCTACAATGGCCATAATATGGTATTGCAGATATGCATTAACTCTCAATAATTAATCTCGCACAAATAATGGAAGTGTCCCTCCTCCACACATTTATGTTCTCCACGTTCTTCGTGACGCGGCCGCCCTGAGGCACTCACATTATCATAGTGCTTCTTGACGATGGGCTCGTAGAAGCCGATGGCCTCCTTGTACTTGTTCTGCATGAAGAGCACGTGGGCTACGTTCAGCTTCCAGGTGTCGTCCTCATTGCAGACCTCTACCGACTTTCGGAAAATCTTCTCAACCATCTGGAAGTTCTCCCGGTTCCAGTAGATCTTGGACTGGGCCATCAGCACCACGATGTACCTGGGAGACGACCGGGACAGTTCAATGGTGGGGGGAGGAGTTATGTCATCTGAATCTTTTTTGGGTGAATTAGTGAACCAAATAGAAGCTGAGGGTTACATATTTATATATTTGTGTGTGTGTCCTCACTTCTCCTGCATCAGGTCGTAGTCCTGCAGACATTTCTTCTGAGCTTCATCATCCCTAGTCAGCCTGGCTTCCTGCACCTTACAGCAGAGGACAAAAACAACACTCAGCCAAAACAAATCAGAGCCTTCAAAATCCACTATTCTCAATTTATAGATATAACATATTGAGAAACATACATGAAAAGAATCCTTACTGTAATAAAGGATCCAGGGCAGTGTTTCATCATGACTTGTCTTACATATTAGGCTGATATGTCTATTGTGTTACATTTTTTTATTTAGCCTTTATTTATACAGGTGTAGATCTCATTGAGACACAAGGTCTCATTTTCAAGAGAGACCTGTCAGTGGTAACACTACCACACAAAGTTACAGACAGACAGGACACTAAACACAGAGGCAACACTAAAATACAACATCGTAAAATCCTTAAGATTAAAGGTCACCTATTATGCAAAATCCACTTTTTCACGTCTTTTCTACATCAACATGTGTCCCCTCTGTGTGAAGACATTCTGAAAGTTTCAGGAACAAAGATTCTCTCTCTTTTTGTCCTGATCCATTTATATGAAAACCTGTCTGAAAATGAGCTGATCAGATTTTGGCCACTTTATGATGTCATAACGATTTTTCGGCTTGTGTAACCATTAGCCAATCACCAACCAAGGTACCCCCCCCCCCACACACACACACCTTATCACCTGAATCTCCTCCTAGAGCTCCATTGTGTTCTTTTTAACCAAATATCTCTCAGAGGGGCGTGGGGAGGGGCTCCTTATTTTAATCTAAAGTAACAGACAGGGAATCAGCACTTTGGAAACAGGGCTGAAACAGAGGGGATTATGGGATGCTACAATGATCTGTTTGGTGTTTCAGCCAATCAGGGACATGTTCTGTATATATCTGAGACCTATAAGGTATTGATGAAAAACAGTATAATAGGGGACCTTTAAGATATGGGCAAATACACATGCGTACAGGACAATGCATAACAAGTGAGAAAGAACAAAGGAGGAAAACAACCTGCTTGGCCAGTTTCCGTAACTGCTCCGTCAGTTTGCCGTTCATCTCATCAAACTTCCTAAAAGCCTGTGGAATAAACAGACAGTTTATTGATGGATGAACAAACACAAATAAACAGATTTTGGAGTAAATTACAAAATGACAAGGTTGGCTTCAGCCCAGATAATATAATGAGGTTCCTGCACACTGAGAATGAAAGCTTAATGTAATGTGGTGACTATAAGCTGTTTTTGATCACCTCCTTAAACCTTTATTCAATCCCAAGTCGTTTTGAAATCCAAACTTTTCAACATTTGATTAAGCTGTGCTTCTTGGGATTATAAAAGCAATTGTTTATGTAACAGAAAGTTTAAATGGATTTATCAGTGTTCTCCCTTTACAGTTACATAAAGGGTTGTTTGACCTCTTGGGGGCAGTGGAACAAGCTTTAAACCCAAATGTGACACATTAACTGGTAATAGTCTTATGGTGAATGAATATGTGTACTGTATATGCTTACAATAGCTCAGTGCTGCTGAGGTCGATGGGAAATACTGTAAGCATGCAGTAAAGCAAACGTAAAAAGTAGCTTTTATTGTAAAAAGAAAATGTGTAGTACCTCCTCTGGTGCTGTCTGACAGGTCAACAGGGCATCAAGAAACTCATACATGTACTGGAAAGGAAACAACAACACTTTTTCATTAGTGCAGGCAAACAGAAACAGAACATGTGAGTTCCTGAAGTGTGAATTAGGAACTGAAAACACATGGATTGGTTCAGAGTGTAACTTACCGGTGTGAGGAACTTGTATGTGAGATGGGCGTTCTCTGCCAGGACGTCAGCAGCCAGGTCAAAGTACTGAGAATGAGAGGGAGGACATCATTGACATTAATACCAACCTCTCTTTCAGCCCTCTGTGTGTTTTGAGCTCTTTCCACTAACACTCACGCCACATGACTCCTATTCAAAACAGTGCTCCTCCCCGCATGGACCCTCACTGTGTGCCGTATGGAGGAAACTGCTGACGCAGTCCTCGGGTCGAATGATAATTGATGATAATTAGCATAATTAGTAATGGCCTGTTTGACAGGTGAAGGTAATGTATGTTTTTCAGTCTCAAAATATAGTGTGGAATTGGTAATGAAACAGCTTTTGGGGGGAAAGAAACACATTTGTTCAAACTGCCACAGGCTAGGTGGGAAAGTACTGTGCAATAATTAAGCTCAGAAGTCTTTGAGCAAAGAATTCATTTCTCAAGCCTACCTAATACATGACAATCGCCTGCAACCTGTTGTGTGCAGTACCTCATGTTTGCAGTAGAGCAGCAGCAGGTTCCCGAAGGTGACGGGGGGGAAGGAGGGTTGCTGCAGCAGGAAGGCCAGCTTCTCAAAGCCCTCCGACGGCTTCGTGTCCATGTTCAACAGAGCCTGGTTGTGTAGCGTCACGGGGTCCAGCTCCTGAAGAAACACACACATCACAGTATAAGCAGCATAAGTATCAATATTTAAGAATTGGAATTATAACCTGGAATTGCAAAGAATAGTGGATATGTAAAAATACAGAATATTCTGTATCGAGCCTCTCAGATTTGTAGATTTTCTGCTGTGTATGGGTTTTGTTATCGTGGTAAAGTGAATATCTTTGGGTTGGTCTGACAAACTGCAGTAAGTATTACATTCCACTAGGGGGCACTGGTGGTTCATTTCTCTCTCTGTATCTCAGGATAACTGGACATTGATGACTCAGTGGCAGATCCACATTTGGCCAAGGACAGAGCACTTCTGTACATTAATGTAAATGAAGCCGTTTGAAGACAACACAAGTATTATCATTACTTCCATGTAAGCCTCTGTTCTAACGTTCTATTCATCTCTACTATCTGCAGGCTGTCAGCAGGCAGGTCCAGGCAGCACTCTCACAACACACACACACACACACACACACACCACACAACACACACACACACACACACACAACACACACACACACACACACACACACACCACACACACACACACACACACACACACACACACACAACACACACACACACACACACACACACACACACACACACACACACACACACAACACACACAAACACACACACACACACACACACACACACACACACACACACACACACACACACACACACACACACACACACACTACACACACACACACACACCACACACACCACACACCACACACACACAACACACACACACACACACCTCCTCTGATCGGGGGGGCATGTCTGTCAAAGCCTCCTGAGATCCTTTCGCTGCAGGGAAGCAACAGAAAAGAAAACAGAAAAGGAAGCGGTTAGTTTCAGTCTTTTACCGTCAGTGTTCCAATACATACTTTTGTTTGTAGATCCCAAAAACGTAATTTAATCAAACTCAACTTGACATTCAGTCATATTCCCCGAGACACTCTAAGAACCAAATTGTCTTGAGATTGTCTTCCCTTTCCCAATCATTCCATCGCGGCAACCATTCCTTACTTACTTGTAAACATCTTTGTAAAATGTATATTTCTAAAAATGTTTGAATTACTACTTAGTCTGGAAACTTAAAATAAGCATGCTCTCTATTTGTTTTTATCTTTGTATTGATATCTAACATGATGTATCTTTCCTAGCCATGTTTGGCTTCTAAACTCTCCTTCAAACTGTTCAGACTTTGTATTCAAAATATTTTTTAAATGTCCGTCTTTTAGGGATTTGTCATTTTTTTTTAAACATGTGTACTGTAAATGTGCAAATAAATAAATAATCAACATTTAAACGGGGCCATATGGATTTTTCTTGAAGACAAAACAAGTGTATATCTTTGAAATGTCTCCAGCTTGTAGTCTTCCTCTTTCATGCATCGTGAAAGCATTGAGCGGTCCAAACGCTTTGCAAGGAACCTTTAACTTGATGATACTTGAAGTAGAATACTTCAAGTATCATCAAGTTAAAGTTAAAATGAGGTCACAAAGCAATTACAAATATGAAGGCTGGCAATAGATGAAACAACTGTTGAATGAGTTTTGGAGAGTAGCCGAATCATTCTTTCTATGAGGAATCAAGGTTATTTTGTGAAGATGTAGCAATATTCTCCATCCTGCTCGTTACATGAGAGTCAGAGGCTCCGAGTGAGGAACTTACAGTTCTTCAGCTGGTATTCGATGGCAGCTTTGAGGTTGAAGGCTTCGATCAGGGCGGTGTGATGCAGCACCAGCGTGTTGCCCACACTGTGCACGTCGATGCCCTCGGTCGTCATCCCCACGCTCAGCTCTGATGCATTAGGTCACAAAGATTTGTTGGAAGATCATGAAATAATGTAAGAAGACTAAAGATTCCACTGAACTCTTTTTGCTGAATGAACACAGATGAAATAATGGCAGTGTCTTTGCGCTGTGGTTCTACCCGGATGTTCTCTGATGCCTCTCTCGATGATCTCTCCGATGTGTTTGAGGGCCTGAGCGTAGTTCTTCACGCTGTAGAAGCACAGGGCGATGTTGTATGACAGAGCTGAGAAACAGGAGGGCAGAGATACCAGGATGACATTTAAATGCTTCCTGTGGAGAGGATTTCAAACCCAATCTCTACTTGATAGCCCTTCAACATTTCTCTTATCATATTATTCGCCTCCACTTCCCCAGCTCGTAAAAACTCTTAAGGTGTCCCCTTCCCCTTAATGTTGTGTTGCTCTGATTAACGACTGCAAAACATTTGATGCAAGGTATATCAATCATTGTCAAACATGGTGCACATTTAATCTGGAAATGTCACCAACTGAGCAATAAAGAACCAAGCAATGGGTTTATAGTGAGACGATGGTATTAGGTCCGTTTACAAGTCCAGTAAAGTAAACGGTGCAATCTCGCAAATGTGGGCTCAAGACCTTGGAGTGGAGATATATGAATGTACAGGGACAGTAATATGGGAGTACACTAACAGCATATCCATGTGTAATAGAGCAAGGGAACTACTGCTGCCTTTACATATCGCCTCATCTCAAGAATAGGACGGAGCGAAAAAAGTCGACTGTGTATTAAATAGTAAGAATGGAGTTGGGAGTTCTTTGATTTACACTATTTGGACCTGTGCACACATCTAGGACATCTCAGTGAAAGTACTTTCACAATTAAATGGGATTTCTAATCAAGAATTCGATTTGAATCCAGTATGCCCTCTGCAAAGAACACCTCACCTACAAATCAGGGATGAGGGAAACTTTGAGATTTTAGCCTGTGCAGACCATTTACAATACAGGAAAAGGAACACCCCAAAAAGCATAATATGGCCTCTTTAAGAGTCCATTCAAAGCCCTGTTTGTTGGCATTGGTATTGAGGCCTTTGCTGTATTATTCTGTGAGGATTCTCCTTTAAAGATGATGTTATCCAATCACTTTAACAATCCCAAAGTCACAACTGTTGTGAAACTAACTTCTTCACCGCCCATTTACAGCTCGACGTAATAAAGACACACAAATGTGAAGTCTTGTGTAGCAAGGGCCACTTAAAGAGTATACATGTTGAAATCTCTGCCACGTATCCTTCTGTAAAGCCAAACCCTAAATACCACCGAAACGGAGACACTGGCTTTTACTAACATTAAAGTCATAACCTCTCATTTTGTTTATTCTGTGGACAAAATCGATGCTTTCGGACTCGGTAGCGTGGGAAAAGGAATGCAGCTTAAGTTTGAACACATCAGTTAGCAGGATTAATAGAGGTGAGATGATCTTTAGTGTCAGAATAATAACTTTAATATCACAATGGTGTAACAACGTGTGTGTGTGTGTGTGTGTGGTGTGTGTGTGTGTGTGTGGTGTGTGTGTGTGTGTGTGTGTGTGTGTGTGTGTGTGTGTGTGTGTGTGTGTGTGTGTGTGTGTGTGTGTGTGTGTGTGTGTGTGTGTGTGTGTGTGTGTGTGTATATGTGAACTACCTGGCACGTATCCCAGCACTTGAAGGGCAGACGTGAACTTCTTGCAGGCCTCCTCGTACTTCCCGTCCTGGTAAAGCAGACAGCCCGTATTGTAGACATAGTCCGGGTCTTCCTGGGGAAGCTGCTCCAGGAGTGACTACACACACACACACACACACACACACACACTGCAGTTAGTGGTGTGTGTGTGTGTGCGTGCGTGCGTGTGTGCGTGTGTGTGTGTGTGTGTGGGCAGCAGATAGTAATGATTCAAACCTGAAATGGTATAATTCATATGCATTAACAGATAGTGTGAGCGCCCTCGTCACCTTGGCAGCGGAGTAATCTTCCTCACAATATTTGATGCAGGCTTGCAGCTTGACCATCTGTGGAAGAGAGAAAAACAAAGAGAGAGGGGTAAAGGTAAGTGCTGGTTTGGCTTTGGGGAATAAGAATTAAGCAATACAATGAAATACCAACTCTAATCTATACATCTATTATTCATTTGTAGCATCTTGATTGAACCAGTTTTCCCATGACTAATTCACACATTTCCTGTGGATCATGTTTCTACTTGATCCATCATATAACTAACTTATAGGGGACATATTGTGAAAAAGATGTTGTTTTCAGTGCTTGTGCACTTGAGCATCTGGGAAGACTTATCACATTGTGATAACATGGGATTAAACTCAGATTTAGACTTTAATCCTCCTCTTATATCACATTAGATTATACGTCCCTATCTGAGTATCTCCAAACATGACCTCTTTTGCAAAAAAATTCACAAGTCAGATGTTTAGTTTCCGTTGTGTTACCCCACAGCGATACATCAATGTCTTAATAGACATGGGGGTGACAGACAGTCTTAAAATACATGAATGCATGTCAACATTTGTAAGATTATAACTTTAAATTCCATTTGAAATCTGCATTATTTTGATTCCTGGTAATAGCATGTGTTTCCTGTTGTTGGGCTGTACACCGTTTGACTTGCTTGATTTGATAAGGTGTGCATTTAAAGGCCCATATGTATTTGTTCGAGCACTTCTGCTGAACAACTGCTCCCAGTGATGGATGTAACAGATGGAGTTGGCAGAGTGAAACATTCAGAGTAAATAAGGTGGATTTGTTCTGAAATCGCACATTTGATGCAGTGATGGTGCACCTGGAGCCAGAGTCCATAAAAAATGCAGTGCGTCTTAGTGGAGCAACATAAAAGCTGGCATTTCATAGACACAAGGTTTTCACATCATCTTTTTGTCTTCGTCTAGCAGTGCGTACAGGCGGTACCTTGATGTGACTGCTGGGGTTATCAAGCACGAAGGAAGCCTTTGTAGCCTCAGGGTAAGCACCAGCTTTGTAAAGAGACTGGGCGTAGTACACCTTGTACTCCTCCACCTCCGGGTGCAGCTGGGTGAGCTGCTCGTAGCACTCTGCAGAGTTGGTGAAATCCTGGATGTGATAGTAGCAGTAACCCAGCAGAGAGAGTGCTGCCCTGGACTGGGACACAAAGGAAAGCAAGAGGGAGTGAACCTGATGGTCGTCTGCAGTGTGTGTTAAATAAGGGTGTGCGGTTAAACAATCAAAAACACCAAGACATACAGTAGCAAAACCGAAAGACACCAGGAAGTATGACGGCATCAAATGTACTTTACCTTTAAACAAAAAGAAGGTATAAATCATAAGTTAGCTGGTAATTTAAATCAGTGTAACCAATCTTTTTGAACCCATCAGTTTTTAAATATTAAGTCGCAAACATTGCAATTATGATGTGCTGATTTGGCAATTCCTATTATGAATCATCGTTGAATTGTTCAGATGGTATCTGAAATAAACTTGTAGGGACAAATCCTATCCTGCCTGAAGCCCAATGTGACGTCTTTAAATCCTTTGGTTTGTCCGACTAACGCTTTAATACTTCAGTCATTCAGATTACAACAATATCTTAAAGGTGTGGTGTGTAATTCACTTCAGAAACACTTTTTGTTATATTCCATGGAATGCTCTTATCACCCCGATAGCAATGAATACATCTGTGGAAGCCGTTTTTTGCACTTTGCTTTAAGAAATGGCTCAAACGGCTCTCAGGAATATTAACAGCAATTCTTTTTTTACTGGTTGATTAATGAACCTTTCATTTCAACAATTTTACAATAAGAGCTTTAACCGGTTTTCCAATTGAAATTAAACAGAAAAATAAGCAAATCCTTGTGGATTCAATTACATTTGATGCCCATTATTTTGAATAAAATATCTCTGATATCCTGAAAAGAAATGTTCTCTCTGTTTTTTATATTAACAGAATCCCAATGAAGGTAATCCTGAAAAAAAACTGGATTGCTTTAAATATTTCCAAATCAGAAAGAGTAAATCCCTGAAGCTAAATAAATGATAATGTTTTAAAAAGCTTTGAAACTTCAAAATATGAATATATATCAAAATACTCGGAAACATGGGGGACAGATGAAAATAAGTCAATGTCACTATAAAAGAGGGTAGAGGAGTTAAAAGAAGGAAAAGGAAGGGCTACTAATTCATTATTCATGACAAGATGCATATATGTTGATGTAGTCTTACATTTTTTGACATGTATGTTTTGTATGGAATGTTTTGATTGACAGAATACAGACATCCACCTACCTTCGTGTGTTTTTGAAGTTGGCCGTTTAGGATATGTATTGCTTCCACATACTGTCCGTCTTTAATCTGAAATATATGGAATTAACTGTGATGTTCCTATTAAACAGTATTAACATTATAGACAGGACACACGTTACTAACAACAAATGTCAGTGAAGAATAAAATAATTCTATGATAATGTTAAGTATGTCATGTGTGTCTCATGTGTAACGTTACACTAAACTGCAGCAAAGATTAGAGATTATTTAGAGTAAAGTAGCGTAATGTTAACAGACAGAAACACATCAAACTTGTATTGAATTAGTTTAATCGTTGTAATTGTGTGCCGAAGTGAAAATCATTCCAGCACAATTCCGGAAACGTGTTATATGTCCAGTGTATGTTTTTCAGTAAGATAGTCGGAGTTTGGTTGATAGTTTACCGTTATAGTGATGCTAGCTTACCACTGAGTTGGGAAGCTAACCTCGACTTTAACAACAATATTCTCACCAGTTTGTAGATGGTAGCCGTGTACTCTCCGTCTTTTATAGTTGTCATGGCTGCCAAGAAGTCGTTTTAACGATAAGTAACTGCTTCTAACAGTGTGTGTTCACAAAACCCTACAAAATAGCATCGAGCTAGCTTCTGTTTAGTGGACGGATGAAACGCATTGAAGCTGTTACTAAGCAACAGAACAGAGCGGAAGTGGAACTTTTGACAGACCTGAAACACAGCCAATCATAGAGCAGGATGAAGTTACGCTGGCCAACCCTCCGTTTTTTGTACCCAAATATTTATTTATCAGTTGAGCAGAGATATACAACCAGCTATACTTTTATGAACATCATATCTCCTCCGATGTTATTTACTATTTCATGCAGGTTAGTTTTATTATCTTAGATCGTTTATGCATCATTTATTTTTACTATTCATTTATTATTATTCATATTTGTTATACTGTAGACAGGATTTACAAAATAAATATTTGGAGAAACAGTATGAACCTTTGAAAACATAACCTTAAACAGTGGATATAATCCTCAAAAACACAATAATTGCAATACAAAAACCGAGTTTATTCATGAACACTAGATGAAAAACCCTTTAAATACATTAATTGCCATTAGGAGATACAGATATTAATTTGCTATAACGGCCCAGGGTTTCCCACACATAGACTATACTTGGGCGGGCCGCCCAGGTATATTAACGGCCGCCCAAGTATATTTCGCGACCCATTTAGTTTTTTTTTTTTTTTTTAATAAATTTTTTTTTAAAATATTTTTTTTTTTTATTCGTCCGTGACCACGACGCCATCTGCGATCGATTAACTTGTAGACAATGATCCCTCGCTCCCTTGCTCTGATCTCGCCTCCTTCTGGCCTGTTAAGTGGCCTGCCTCACACAGGGTGACTGGCTGTCCACATGATGTGGCCTGCCGACATGGCCACTGTCATACAGATCATAAATCAAAGCCCTTGATTGGTCTCTGTGTGTCATTCAAGCTCGGGATAACCTCAGCTCAGGTGAGGTAAAGGACTCTCTGAGTGTTTAGATAGTTAACTTAGTCTAAGTTCTCAGTGGGTCTCAAACGGTGTGGTCACCATTTATGTAAACACATATTTCCATTTGAGAGGGTAGTGATTGGTCTAATGGATAGTGAGGTGGGCTGAAGATCGGAAGGCTGTGAGTTCAAATCCCGCTAGGAACACCACCACTAGTGTGCCCTTGAGTAAGGCACTTAGCCCTTAGTTACTCCAGGGAGAATGTCCCTGTAATCGGTCATTATAAGTCGCTTTGGATAAAAGCGTCAGCTAAATGAAATGTAATGTGATTAGTAAAATATGCATGAATAAATAAATAAAAAGTTAACTAGGTGAAAAAAGGTAAGATACACTTTTAAAACTTGTTGAGAGAAAACTAGTCTTTGCTGCTGCCTCAAAGAGGAGCAGGGGGAGAGGATGGAGAGGGGGGAGAGGAGGGAGACAGGAGAGGCTGGTTCAGGAGCACAGACACACTCACAACTATAAATGAACCAAAACTAAATTAATAAACAAGTTTCAGTGTTTTTTTCATATTGGAAATGGGATGTTGTTGGTTATGGCCTTGATTTTATGATTATTGAAATGTATACAGTTCTGTTAAATATAGGTGTTTCCATAGATCTAGTCTCTTTATTTTCCCCTCAAAATGCACCAGATTGATGCATTTAACTCCAACATAAAACAAATCTTACCGGGGGGGCATGCCCCTGGACCCCCCTAGAGGATTTGAGGTCGACCCCCACTAAAAATCACATGGATAGGTTCCTAAATACATAGTAAATAGTAACCCATTTCCATATGTTCATGTGTGGGTAGTAGATTTAAACTATAGGGCTATCATTATGGACCCTGCCTGTACCTGTTCGCTCTGCCATCGCGTGAAGGGTCTGGTAACAAGCGACCAACAGAAAGGTTAATGTTGTTGCACGTCACCTCAACACCCCCCCCCTACCACCACCCCCCAAAGTATATTTCAGATCTGTGGGAAACACTGGCAGTTAATGGACCAGCACCAGAGGCATTCCCATACACACAGGCGTTGGAGCTGTTCTTCATGAAATCCCAGAAGGATGAAGTGCTCTGACAAACAGTGCCATCTTTGCGCAAAATGATTATACCGGAATGAAAAGTCAATAAATAATGTTGTTAAAACTTTTTTTTTTTTCGCGCACCCCCCCCCCCTTGCCACCACCCGCCCAAGTATATTTCATATCTGTGGGAAACACTGCTGCCTATTAACATCTGTAGTAGGCCTATAGCTGTAATGGAGAGTGTGATTCTTTTGTAATTAGCACAAAATTATTTAAGGAACACCTGATGGCAATCAAGCAAATTAGATCGAGGGTTATGCTTATGCCAATCGTGCCAACCACATAGCTTGCAAGAAAAAAATTAAAAAGGCAAGAATATTAATATATTTTCTCTCTTCCTTTCTTTCTTTCTTTCTTTCTTTCTTTCTCAGCACAAGCACATTCTGGTCAAAACCACCAATGATCTCATTTGCAGAGTCCAGGACGATGGGCTGACAGAGGTACAAACAGGATAAACTGACCGAGGTGCTGGAGCTTCGACTCAAACCTCAACCACACTATGCTGACCACCGGGACGCCATAATGACGGGGAAGTGGTAGATGCTGTTTTTGTGTGTGGGTTTGAAAGTGAGAGTGTTCTTTTTGTGAATATGCATGTGCATGCATGCTTCTGGGTGTGTGTTCTCTCTATCCTTCTGCCCTTCCTGCATGCCTCTCACTGCCTCTGTTTGGACTGGAACTTTGCAGAAGGAGCTGCGAATCAACAGGTACACTCTACTGATCAACAGGTATGTGCAGAGAACAGGATTTGTATTGATTAAAGTTGTTTAGGCCAAATTATACAGAAAATGCAAGGGAAAAGTTTATAACAAAGGAACGTAAAAGTAAATTGTACTACTTTATGATTTCGGTCTGAAGTTTCAGTTTTATTTTGTTAACACAAAGGTCAAGAGTTTTTGCAGAGGGAATTATTATATTATATTATCTCTTTGCATCACTCCGTGTTTTTAGTAATTAAATGCTGTATAAATCAGGCTCAGGTCCGGGGGAGCATGCCCCCGGACCCCCCTAGAGGATATTAGGTCCACCCCCCACTTATAAAAATAGCACTTTACCCCTGCTTACACCTATATGCCGTGAGCTGATTATCGAGCCTTCATTGTAACAAGTGTATATATACTGTGTATGTGCGTGAAGTGTTGCAGTAGAACATTCCACTGTAGCGCCCGGTAGATTAAGGGAAAACCCTAAATGTTTGAGCACCCTCTGTGAAACGTCAAGCTACCCCACAGCACCCCCAAAAGAAAATCTCTGGCGCAGCAACTGCTTCTGAACCGGATGCTTTTTTCGTTTGTGCAAATAATGGCCTTTAGATATTGTAAAGTCATACATGCACTTCTTTTGTGGGTTTTCTCTGGAAGTTTTTCCTTGTACGATGTGAGGGTCTAAGGATAGAGGGTGTCGTTTTTCTCATACTGATATTCTGAATCAATCTGTGCTATTGTATTTGCTGTAAAGTGTCTCTACTATAGGCTATTTTTATTATATGTACAGCACTTTGGCTCGACAAAAAATCGTTTATAAATGTGCTATATAAATAAAACTTGATTTGATTTGATTTTGGATGGGATAAAACTCTTAAAGATATCACCATAAAACGTTGATAATTTACATTAAAAGGACTATCTTGTTATTACAAGTTTTTGAAATGTTAATTTTAAATATAAATAATTAAGCACTGTATAATGTTGACTATTGGTTAATTTAGGAGACATGTACAGAGACATATAGACAAAGTTAGCAACATAAACAATTAAATGTGGATTTTAGATTTTTCCTTTCCTCTAGTCTGAAAGAAGACATTCTATGGAAGCAAAATATTGTCCACTATAGCACTCAATACATATTTTTTGATGAGCAATTTTGCTGCTTTGAATGAACATATGTTGGTTTTCATGCTGCATCAATGTGCACTTTTAGTGTAACATGCTTGAGATGAAACGGAATATGACTCCTTTTTTAATGTTGAGCATGAATTTGAATGAGGCATCTGCCTTTTAAATACTGAATCCATTTGGGAAATTCTGTAATTATTCTGCGTGCCTTCTCTCGCCGCAGGGCCTCACTTATTTCATGGTTGCCAGATTGAACACGGTTTGAGTTGATGAGATTTTGGTTGCTAAGGAAAGAAAAGCTGTGGGTTTAAGAGACCGGCAGGAGAGAGAGCTTTAAAAATATAGCTAAAATATTTGTGGTTATTATTGTGTGCATACCTGAAGGGTCAGTCAGGGTTTATGTGTGTTTAATTAAGTTTTAGCGAGATGGTTCATTCTGCAGTGATGACTGCAAAAAAATCGACATATCCCCAGTCGTGGGGCATACAGTGTGATGCGTTAAAGGAAAATACTGGTAATCATCAAAAAAGAATAAAAATAACATTTTTTTAGTCGTCTCTCAATATGTTTTTTATTTCTGTCTGTGGCTCTCAGATTAAAGCCCATTGGTTCAAAAATAAAGCTGAATCTATAAAACAGAAATATGTAGTTGAAAGTTTCTCAGTTATTTTTGTTTCACAAACAAACAGGAGAAAATATTGCATTTGTTGGGAACTATTTTCAGCAGCAGGATGATCAAAGTTATCATGCAGATAGACAGCAGAAGTTAGAAGAAGTATGTTTTAAACTTGTTCTAGCTGACTTATACCAATCAAACTTGTTTTACCCAGTCTTAAAGCCAACAGAGAATTCATGTTTCACACTTTAGAATAAACAAAAATAAATTATTAAATCTGTAATTTAAATGTCTTTGTGATGGCCACAGCCACACAGGGTAAACCAACTACACTGCATTCTCATCTTCAGTAGTTTTGCTCCAGTGCAGCTACAATAAAACATGCCAATTAACACCACACATTTGCTCTAAATGTTACCATGTCCATTGGGGTAGGTTACTTCCTGGTTCAGCAAAGGGTGTGGCCGAGCGCTGAGGACTCATAAATACTGCAAGGAGCCAATTGGGACAGATTGGGACAAACCACCTGCTTCCATGTCAAAGGGGGGATTTGGGTTTTGTCAGTGTCCTTTGTATGATGTGACTATTAATTATCCCTTGGGTTCAACTTGGTTTGGCCAAGCCACTATATAGGTTCCTTGGTTTTTCATTGTAGCAGGTCCGTTTTGTTGAGTTAACACCTGTTATGTTTCTTTGAGGTGTTTTCTGTTGACCTCTTTTATAGGCCTTGCTATTATATGATGTTTTGTGGATTTTTGGGTAAATAAAAACCCTAGTTTATTTAAACCACTCCGGTGTCCTGTTGTCTTACTGCTTGGTCCCTGACAATTGGTGGCAGTGGTGGGATCATTCAGTGGAGGACACAGGTGTTTTTTCTCACTTTCTTTTCTTAAAAAAAAAAAAAAAAAGCGTGGAGGGAGAATTACAAGGAAACCGGGAGGACCGACAAGTCTTTCAAAGATCCAGGAGAAGCAAGCCAGTAGTGAAGAGGAGGACAATGGGGCCTCTGGAGTGGTAGAAAGCACTGAGGGTGAAGGTAAGGAGCCATCCATGTCGGACCTGGTGGCCCTGCTTCAGGCTCATATGGGGCAGACGGAGGCTCAAGCGGCAAAGCAGAGCGAGATAACTACAAGACAGGAACAGCGGTTTGAAACAATGCAACAGCAGTTTCAGATTTTGCAGTTAGAAGTTCAGGCCAGAACATCTCCAGTACCAGATTCTCTGTCAGCAGACCCTGATCCATCAGAGGTGGAAGTCTTACCATCCACCAGCAACCATCCTCCGGTGCAAGCTGAGCTTTTACCATGGCTGCCCATCCAAACCTTGCAGGTCAGTCTCGCACACACCATGAGCCCAGAATGGAAAGATTAACGGACAATGATGACATTGAACACTTTCTGATTACATTTGAACGGATTGCTATAGCATGCCGGTGGCAGAAAGCAGATTGGGTTTTTCACTTGTTACCATTGCTTACTGGCAGAGCTAGAGGTGCTTATGTGCATATGGACATTGATGATTCCCTTGACTATGACCAAGTAAAATCTGCTATTCTTTCTAAGTATGACATCAACCCTGAGACCTACAGGCAAATATTTAGTTCCTTGGAGTTTAACCCTGACGAGAGCCCCAAGGAGTTGTATGTAAGACTCAAGGAACTTTATGGGAAATGGATCCAACCAAAAGGTAAATCCATACATAAAATTGGTGAAATAATCATACTAGAGCAATATTTGAGAATGTTGTCCCCTGAGCTTCAAGTCTGGATCCGAGAGCGTGACCCAGGATCGGCGATGGAGGCTGCTGGACTGGCTGATGTCTTTGTTGCTGCCCGTAATAAAGGACAACAATGGAGCTATAACTCATGGAGTTCAAAGGATCGACACAAACCAGCTCGACAGTACGATCAGGAGGCACCCTCCGGTGTGTAAGCCACCCATGTGGGAAAAGCAGTCAGCTAGCGGCCCATTTAAACCTCTTGGTAAAAAGCCAATTTGTTATCTCTGTGGAATAGAAGGCCATATAAAACCTATGTGCAGCCAAAATGACACAAATGTGCTTTGTGCCTCACCCTCATATTGAGCATGTGCGTAAGGATGACCAGTCTATTAAGATGACACTCATAGAAGTTAATGGACAGATTATCAAGGCCTTGCTGGATTCTGGGAGTAGTCAGACTCTTATACACTGGAAGTTTGTACCACCCAACATTATTAGCACAAGAGACACGATCCCAATCTGTTGTGTGCATGGAGATGATAAAAGCTATTCAACAGCTGACATGTACATAAAAGTAGAGGGTCAAACTTACCTCTTGAACATTGGGGTTGTTGATAACTTGCCTTATCCAGCGGTGCTGGGGCGAGATCTTCCAGTGCTTTTTGATTTGTTGGAGGGGAAGCAAAGCCAAAAATGTAATGTTGTAGTTACTAGAGCACAGGCAAAATCACCAAATGAGCACTCAGAGACTCTTAGTGCTTTACCTTTTTTCAATCAGGAGCTTGACACAACATCTGGGAGACCTCGGAAAACTCGCAGACAGAGGAGGCAGGAAAAGTTCCAACACACAGTTGTGAACCCACCATCCAGCACTGAGCCAGATGTAACCTTACAGTTTCAAATGCCAGCCAATATCATGGAAATGCAGAAAGCTGATCTATCCCTAGTTTCTCTTTTTCAGACGGCGAAGGAAAAAGAGCCAGGGGCTGAGCTGGACTTCAACGAAGACGAGTATGTTCTGCAAAATGGCATTCTCTACCGTCAGCAGGGGTCGGTGTTGCAGCTAGTGGTTCCCCAAGCAGTTAGATACAACATTCTCTCTTTGGGGCACTCTATCCCCTGGGCTGGCCACCTGGGTAAGTATAAAACCATAGCTCGCATCCAATGCTATTTTCACTGGCCTGGCCTGCGAAGAGAGGTCACTCAATTCTGCAGAAGTTGTCCTCAGTGCCAAATAACATCTGCTAGAACCCCCTCCAGAGCTCCCCTCCAGCCTTTACCCATCATTGGCACCCCATTGGAGCACCTTGGGATGGACATTGTTGGTCCTGTTGAGAGGAGCAAGGGGGGAAACCGGTACATGCTGGTCATAACAGATTATGCCACAAAGTACCCAGAAGTTTTTCCATTAAAATCCATAAAAGCAAAATCAGTTGCTTTCTGTTTGGTTCAGTTATTTTCAAGAGTAGGTTTCCCTCATGAAATATTAACTGATCAGGGAACTAACTTCATGTCCACTCTGCTGAAACGGGTGTATCACTTGCTGGGTATTCGGAGCCTGAGGACCACACCATATCATCCCCAAACTGATGGATTGACGGAGCGTTTCAACCAAACCCTGAAGCAGATGCTACGGAAGTTTGTCAACAACAGTGGCACAGACTGGGACCAGTGGCTGCTATACCTCCTCTTTGCTTATAAGTACCCCAAGCCTCCAATGGTTTCTCTCCATTTGAACTTTTGCATGGACATGAAGTACGAGGACCTCTCTCACTGTTGAGGGAGATTTGGGAGGGAAACGAGGCGAGGGATGGTTCTGTTAACATTGTATCCTATGTTGTTCAGATGAGAGATCGATTGGAGAAAATGAGTCAGCTTGCCCAATCTCACATGGCAGTGGCCCAGCAACAGCAGAAGTCCTGGTATGATCGGTCAGCTCGGCAAAGATCCTTCAACCCAGGACAAATGGTACTAGTTCTCCTCCCAAGTGATAACAGCAAGCTGTTGGCAAAGTGGCAGGGACCATTTGAGATCAAGAAGCAACTCGGGCCCACAACATATGAGGTATCGACCCCTGGGAAGCCACGCTCCAGTAGAGTACTACATATAAATCTCTTGAAAGAGTGGGTGCCGCGACCTGAACAAGAAGCAAGAGTGATGCTCATCAGGGATGTGCAAGAGGAAGAGGAAGTGGAGGAGCAATACCTATCTCCAGGGGGGGCTACGGTGAGCCATGACCTCAGCCACCTCTCAGAAGACAAACAGCTTCAGGTGAGAACAATCTGTAGGTCAGAATTATTTCAGGAGAATCCTGGGAGAACAGATATTGTTGAGCATGACATTGTGGTTAGAGAAGGTGCTTCTGTGAGACGGCTGAGTTACAGGATTCCGGAACGCCTGCTGGCGTCACTGAAAAAGGAGGTCGATCTGATGCTGTCCCTGGGGATCATTGAGATTTCGAAAAGCGAGTGGTTGTCCTTGTGCCAAAGAAGGATGGCAGTCTTAGGTTTTGTATTGATTTTAGGTACCTGAACTCAATTTCAATGCTGATCCGTGCATTAATAGCAACAGCACAGACATAGGCCTATTATAAAGAGAAAATCTGTTGCACACGGGGTGGTGCCACAGGTCTACATTTACATGAAACGTCCCGATGGATCATGTTCATGTCAACAGATTTCCCGAGCATGTATGGGCTACGCAAACTTCAATCAACTTGATAACTGGTCCAGGTCCAGCCAGCCGGCGGCCGCGGGACCACCGCAGCAACTTCGCCCCCCCCCCCCCCCCCCCCCCCATCTCGAGCAGCAGGCAGGGAGGAAGAGGAAGAACAGGTGGGGTGGTCATCAGCAGCATCATCTTCTTCCACATCTCCTTCGACCTCTACTATGGTAGTTGTAGTCATCAAGTTAGCTTCTCTTGGCTCGTCTTCTTGTGTCTCTTCAGCCCCCAAGTTAAGGTTAGCTGTCAAGTTAGCACTAGCACTGACGTTAGCTCCCTCCTCTCTCTGTTCTGTTGTAGCAGCAGTCACAACGTACGTGCTACCACCAGCTACATTCGGTTGGTCTTCTTGATCAGGTTGTTTGGCCGTCTTTTTAAATAAATTGCCCAAGGTAAGTTGTTTTTTTCATTTTCGACATGTCAGCATCAACAATGCCTGGTAAACATGCAGTGCTAACTAAACGAGCTTGTGAGTGGGTAGTGGGTGGAAGCGTGCAAGCAGGCGACACTTTTTTCATGAATCATAAACTCTAAATATAATTTTATTTCACTTATTTTACACCTTTGAAAAAAAAAAACATGCCCAAAATTGAATTTATTTGGTCATCATATCAGTATTTTAGAGAGCTCCCCCCAAATTTCACAAACCATGTTCCCAGGGGAGCTCATGTCACCACTAGGGGAGCTATAGCTCCCCCTGCTCCCCTCCAGTTCGCACCCTGGCCTTGGTTTTTCATTGTAGCAGCTCCGTTTTGTTGAGTTAACACCTGTTATGTTTCTTTGAGGTATTTTCTGTTGACCTCTTTTATAGGCCTTGCTATTATATGATGTTTTGTGGATTTTTGGGTTAATAAAAACCCTAGTTTATTTATACCATTCCGGTGTCCTGTTGTCTTACTTCTTGGTCCCTGACAGTCTTGTACGGTCAGCTTTCTGGCGTGAGCTCAGCTGCAGGGCAGTCTCTCAATTACATGGATTTAAACACAGCTGTATAGTCTACAAGAGCCTTTGTGTGTTATTGGAGTAATGAATGTGTGGGTGTGGAATAAACATAAGCTTGATGGGGCATTCCTACTCTGCATGTCTCTGCAGCTCAGTTTTTCCAAGCCTCCCTTTGTGTTTGAATGCTGTTGGCCTCGCTCCCTAGCTGAGAGTTCAGCCTCGGGGTATTTTGCTCCTGTTCCTCCCTCTGAAACGCAAGGAAGACTCTAAGAAGTTTGTCCTCAGAAAAGTTAGATTTCCTTTTTCTCTACATTATCACGATTGATAGCCACAGCTGTGATAAAGCCATACAGTGTTCAACACAGTGCTGAGAAGAGAGTAATACCTGCAGCATGCTGACTACAGAGCAATAGTTACAGATGAAAATAAAACCTGGCACACTGAAGTCAGAGAACATCAGGCATGGAAAGCAAAGGAAAAGAGAATTTAGAAAAGGGCCCCCTTTAGAATTTAGAAAAGTGCACCCACGTGCTGAAAAGTGCTATATAAATAAAATTGCCTTGCCTTGTATTAATAAAGTGGAAATAATAAACATACCAGCCCTTCCTCTAAGCCTTAGGCATTTGAGGATGCAATGCATGATTTAGTGAATTGCTACAGTGCCTACTGTGGGCTCAGTATTGCTATTGCAAACAAACAATCAATCGTTTTAGTTTAGCAAGATCTAAGTCGTTTCCCTAACAAAAACTCATTTGACATAAAGTTAATAGGATTTGAACCAGTATATTCAAATACTATTCCTTGGAATAAAGGGTCACAGATTTAAACACATTTTTATTTTTATGTTTTGTATTTAAAACAGGTTATTCATTAATCATAGGCACTGTGTCTTAATGCTTTTAAGGTTTTTGTTAAAGCTCTTCTTATTGCCATTTTGTTGAAATGTGCTCTATAAATAATCTTGCGTCACTCTGCAGGTGTCATCATGACCCCAAATCTCAACATGCTGATGCTGCTATTGGCCGTCACCACGGTAACGGTTCTGGCCCAGAAGCGGCGCCCGGCATCAAAGCCGAAAGTCACCACGGACGAGTGGAACTTCAGGGATGGCTGTGAGCACACATTTTTCTCTCTGTTCATCCTGGGTCAAAGGTCAAGTTCAGGGCTCAATTTAATGTCATGGTTTCACAGCTAGAGGTGAAGGCAAAGCTGTCTGTCTGTGTGGAGCTCTATTATGGGGCCAAACCATAGACTGTATAAAGCGTCAAACCTGATTGGTTAACGTGGGTAGACAGAAAACAACTGATAACCTTAATTTGTCCTCTGTTATCAATTTGTTGTGTCAAAATTATTCGTTCAAACTAAAGATATAACAACATATTTCCATGTTTCTTTACGTCATTTTGGCTCAATTTAAGAAGACTGACTAACATGGAGAATTAGCATTAAGCTGCTAATACTAATATACTTTTATATCTTAGAAGCGAACGGCAGCTTAAAGGATTCAAAGGACTTCCAAGACAGTGGATCTTTTTCCTTTGAGTATTTTCCAGTTAGATTTAGCAGGATGAATGAATTCAGTGGGATCTGACTCAGAATTACGAGCCTTTTTTCGGTTCACCAGAGTGTGTTTTCTTGTTTCAGCTGATAAGGTGAACATGCGCGGCATTGCTAACCTGACTCAGACCCTTGACGACTGGAGGTTCGACATCCTGAGCCAGATGAGAGGACTCCTGCAGAACGACCACCAGTCTGTGCTGCCTGACTACGCCAGGTACGAGAATGTGTTATATTTATATTTACAAGTATTTATCTTTGGATTATGTAGTTTTGGTAGAACTATTTGTATTTTCTATAAAGTTTCTGCGTATACGTTTATATAACTTACATGAATGGATTTTCCTTTGACGGATGGGTAGGATTTCTTAGTTTTGGTAAGCAAACACAACTTTTAACCTTCTACCTCCCTCTCTCAACAACAGCAGAAGCCAAGCCTTCCCATTAGGTTTCGGGTACCCCATTTGGATACCCGAAATAATGAAAAGGACAAAAAACTGAAATGAGTGTAAATGAAAACGTGAGAGAAGCAAAGCTGCGTCAAAGGCCAAATGAAAAAAAAGGAAGTTCGAGAATATCCCATAAAACCTGCTGCTCCATCACTGTTTATGTAACTATTGCACCATAATGAAGTCTGCTCCTCTAAACTGTGGCGAGCTGCAGGAAACACCAGACTGCCTCGGTGGAAAACTCCTGTGTTTCTTATGGCGCCATCGGCCACAGAGTGTACTAGACAGAATGTATTATCAGCCTGAAGGATAAACCACGTTCCTGTGGGGACTCGCAACTGTTTTATTACACTCGTGGAATATTCTGCTCATTTAAGACACACAGGAGGATGGAGACGTGCTGTGCTCAGTCAATTTTAAAACCAGTTGTTGAACTAAACTTTCACCAGTGATGAAAGACGTAGTGCGATCCATTCCTGCAGAATTGTTTTCTTCTAAATACTCCATTACAAGTTACCTAAAGTAAAAGTGGATTTTTCTTGGATAGGATACTTTTTAAAATGTGGATTTGTTGTTTTTATTATTGTGTTTAAATAACGAGAGATCAATAAGTACACAGTCTGTTCGGGATGTGCGTGTGCCTGGTTTTAAAATAAGTCTATAAACGTGTTTATGGCAGCAATGCTTCATCATGAGGCGTGTGGCGCAGTGGATAGAGTGTTGATGTTCGGATCAGGGGGTCAGGTTCAAACCCCACTGCAGTCAACATGTCGATACCTGGCCAAGACACTTCACCCCAAATTGCTCCTGTGGGGATTGCCCACAGTATTGAGTATGTAAGTCGCTTTGAATAAAAGCGTCTAACAAGTAACATGTAATGAGTGCAAAGCTCCCTTAAAATTGTACGGCTTAAGAAAAATTCCAGCCGGTTGGTTCTGTTTTTTTCAGTTTTCTACAGAATCACTGATCCAAAAAACTTCTCTCGGGTCCTCAGTAACACACACGCCAAACGTAAAATACATCAATCCAATGGATTCCAAGAATAATTTAATCTCAAACACACATAACTACACTACAATGTAGCTATTGTGCTTATGACAATAAAGCCTTTGAATCTTGAACATACAAACACTGAAAACATTTAAACCTTGACTTTAATTAAATGTAATACTGTATGTCAACAGATTACACATCATTATATTAGGTTAGTTGAAACAATATTATGTTGAACCTAATAATTTGTTTTCACACTTAATAGTATTGCTTTCAACTAACCTAATAAAGTCAATGTTTCAGTTTTTTCAGTGCACTGTTGGGGCCAGAGAGGTTTTTACAACCCACCTCGGCTCCGCGTGTCGTTTGGCGAGCTGCTTAAGATCATAACAGGAGGGAAATCAGAATACACCAGGATACCAGTTAAACAATAATCTGTTTTAATTATAAAAGGTAATAATGCAATGCAATACAATTCAATATAATACAATTAGGAGCACTCCTGCTCTAGTTTCTCGTGCTGTTGTGATCTTACGGCCTTCGCAGCAGGAGGAAAAAGAGGACGAACTTAATACAAAACAAGCTTATATACCAGAAAACACGGGAGGAGCTGAGTCAGGTTATCTCATTGGGAGATGTAAAAAGATGGCGTCTCTTAGCGAATCAGCGCGAGCCAGGCAGATAATAAACAAGTGTCTCGGAGGGTGTAGCAAAATATCTCCGTTATCACACATTCTTGCATAGCTTTCCCCCACCCCCATCCTGCAACTTTCCAGAGACTTGAGTTGTGTCTAAAGAATATTCCCTTGCTCACAAAGATAATACATATTAATAATCTCATATTTCCAGCTTCTGGTTACACAGACTGCTTATTATGAATACAAAGTAATTAAACACACACATCAACTATTCAAAGTATGTAGACTTCACTGACATGTTGGAGATCTTAACAAGAAGGTACTCTCATCCACCTAGCCCCCTGTCCTGCATAACTACACCTCCCCATAGAGTAATAAAAACCTGTTTACACCAACCACCCCACAATGTTCATAGCAATTTTAGTCCTCACATTTATGAAAGAATAAAACAGAGAAATCAATATCAAACACAAACACAGGTATTATTTGAGCAGTCTTCACATAGCTGCTCCAATAGTCTTATATCTGGGGGAAATCCCCCTGTTATTTGCACAGACTTTCTGAAAAACACTTAACGGGTAATCTTTTCACTCAAAACAGAACTCACAAATAGCCAAAAAACCACCCTTTTGATTATATGTAAAAGTGGAAGAAAAAGACTATTGCGCTAATCTACTTTTAAGAAAAAGGGAATATTGTTGAATATATAAAAACCTCTCTATATTTAAGAGGAAAAATGTACTTTGTTCCTTCAACTATTAACACACAGGAATGTATAAAACCACACATATATTAGTGATAACATGATGCAACACAACTCTTATATATCAGGTGTCATTAAAATGAATATACCAAAAATACGCTGTATCAACTTTTCACTTCAAACTTTCAAGTTACTTCAATTTCCGCACAGCACCCACAAATGTCCTTTAAAGGTCCCATGTCATGCTTTTCTGGTTATTACCCGTCCCCTTGTGTGTTATGTAGCTTTTTATGCATGTGAACGGTCTGCAAAGTCACAAATCCTCAAAGTACACCCTGTAGCGAGTACAACTCTAACACAGAAAAGACGTGTTTATGCTGCCCCAGAACGCCTCGTTGGAGATTTAATTTTTTTTTAAAAATTCTTCCGGGAACCAAGTGACGTAACGACGATCCAAATGGACCAATCTGCGGAGCTCCTCACACACACGTCGGCCCAATCCCAAACCACTCCCTCGACCCTACCCCTCCGTGACGGAGGCCCAATCCCAAACCACTCCCTCGACCCTACCCCTCCGTGATGGAGTGAACTCCGTCTGTAGCCACACTCGCAGCTCAACGAGGCTCCCTCCTGTCAGATGGAGGGAGTAAATACAGCAGCAAGCTTTGGGACGGCCTCCCCTCTCTCCGGCAGAAACAGGAAATGCCGTAACTGTATGTAACAACGGTTTCAAATCAGCATCTCTTAGACAAAAAGTTTAAATTAATAACTCAAATAAAACTCCAAACATCTTTCATTGTGTTTCAAAGCTCTTTTAGTTTTAAACCTGATGTTTATAAGCTTCTTAGTTTTTGCAACAGTCTGTAAATATACACAACTTTATAATAAAATGCACAATTTTACCTTTTTCTAGACTAAACACAGGTATGATCCTAAGTTAAAAACATATGAGGTTATCATGAGGTTGTTAACATCGCAATTTATCAGTGGATGTTTGCTGGAACTACTTGTAAACAGCGTGTTTCCCGACGGACTCACACAGCATGACTCCGGTCAGGTAGAGACCGGTCTCAAGTCAGCATCGCTGCAGACTCGCTGTTTGAGGGCTTGATAGCCCACTCCCTCTCCACACTGCTCCACACTCGTTGCTTTGGAACAGCCCTTAATATGGCGGACACTCCGCGTGAACGCGCAAACGGAGGTGTAGGGTGTAGGGTGTAGGGTGTAGGGTGTAGGGTGTAGGGTGTAGGGGGCGGTTTGGGAATGGGCCACAGGCCCAATCCCAAATCACCCCCTACACCCTACCCCTCCGTGACGGAGTGAACTCCGTCTGTACCACACTCGCAGCTCAATGAGGCTCCCTCCTGTCAGATGGAGGGAGTAAATACAGCAGCAAGCTTTGGGACAAACTCCCTTCTCTCCGGCAGAAACAGGAAATGCCGTAACTGTATGTAACAACGGTTTCAAATCTGCATAGGCCTATCTTAGACAAAAAATGTAAATTAATAACTAAAATAAAACTCCAAACATCTTTCATTGTGTTCTTTTAGTTTTAAACCTGATGTTTATAAACTTCTTAGTTTTTGCAACAGTCTGTAAATATACACAACTTTATAATAAAATGCACACATTTACCTTTTTCTAGACTAAACACAGGTATGATCCTAAGTTAAAAACATATGAGGTTATCATGAGGTTGTTAACATCGCAGTTTATCAGTGGATGTTTGCTGGAACTACTTGTTAACAGCTTGTTTCCTGACGGACACACAGCGTTGAGACCGGTCAGGTAGAGACCGGTCAGGTAGAGACCGGTCTCAAGTCAGCACCGCTGCAGACTCGCTGTTTGAGGGCTTGATAGCCCACTCCCCCTCCACACCGCTCCACACTCGTTGGTTTGGAACAGCTCTTAATATGGCGGACCCTCCGCGTGAACGTGCAAACGGAGGGGTAGGGTGTAGGGGGCGGTTTGGGAATGGGCCACACTCAGCCAGCCTTATTTTTCTCAGCTGCAGCTCTGCGGATTTCTCAGCCTGGACTCAGCCTGAGACAGCGGGACACGGCGAGGCCCGGCCCGGACCGAGCACACACACAGACCCACAACCAGGCTGCGGGTATGGGTGTGTGTGCTCCGGCCTGAGCTCGGGCCGGGCCTCGCCGTGTCCCGCCGTCCCGCAGACCCCACGCAACAACCAGGAAACAACACCAGCAGTCAGGGCCGGCCCTAGACTTTTGGGGGCCCTAAGCGAGCTTTGGCTTGGGGGCCCCCCTCACTCTTGCGCATTCTCACTACACACAACACAGAACCAACTTTTGTCTTATGATGTTAGCATAAGCACACATATTGTATAAATAAGAATGTAAACACCGTGGACCTAACCTCCTGTAGGGGGGTCCGGTGGCATGCTCCCCCGGAAAGATTTTTTTTAAATATTGAAGTTAAAAGCATCAATCTGGTGCACTTTGAGAGCAAAATTAAGAGATCTACAGTATGGATACATCTCTCAACACCCATATGAAACAGCACTGTAAACAGATTTTTCTTAATGGATATTTTATAAATCACTCCCCTTTTAAAATGTATTCTTGTTTTGTCATATAGTATTTCATAACTGTTTTTCATTTATTCTCTCTGGCTGTCCATCTCATAATGATCACATAGAAACTAGCTGTCAAAAGGAATATCATATTATAATTTCATGCAAAAATCTGTCACAAAAAGAGGTTGCACATTTAAATTCAGGTGTTGTTATGGCAACGTCTGTGGCCAAACAGCCACATTTACTGCTGCAAATACGTTCAAACATGCTGTCGACACGTAAAGCAGTGGCAACTATGCCACCATTTCAGCTGACTTTTTCTCAGAAATACTGTCACATAACATCCATATATTTCAGTGCTAGGTTGATGCTTAACTAAGATAACTATGAAACACTTGAACTGACAGGATTTAGGATTAACTGTGTGCTGTAAGGTAGCTTCATGTCGAACAGTAAGTCAACATTTTCCAGAGAGATTTCTTTGAAATCACCAGGTAACGCTAAAAAACATTACATTTAGATTGTATGACAAAGTGTTCATTTAATATATCTGGCTAGCTATAGCTACTTGCTAACGGTTTAGCTTACCCCGCGATTCAAAGTAACGTCAACGTAGCTGTAATTTATGCTTTGCTTACATGTTCGCATAACTTGGACGTTTACTGACATTTACATACCTTGTTTACCTGGCTCAAGTGGTGACTCTGGGGTTGTTGTGTGAGCCACCACTTGAGAATTGTCGTCTTTTTTAAGAAATGTTTTTCTTATGTCCATCTTCAAAAACTCTGAGTCCGACTGACAGTTTAAACATTGTCACAGCTCAAAGGATAGGTACCTGTCAGCCAATAAGACAGATGTTTATTTCCATTCAACTCTCAGGTTGGTTTGGCGTCTTGCCTCTGTTGCATTCACTGAACACAGGAAATTACACTCCTGCCGTCCTCTCTAGTGTCATGATGAGGTTCAGGTAAAGCACGGTTAATGTATTATATGATTGACTCAATCATATAATACATGACTTTGAGAGTAGGCAATCTAGGCATATTAACAAAATTAATTAAACATATTTATTGAGATTATTTAATTAAAAAAAAAATGTATTTACATTTTTTTTTTTTTTTTTGCAAACCAAAGTTTGTAAAATTGCACAATATAAATCTATTCTAGTAGACCTCAACAATGGAATTATGATCAGTAGAAATGGCCATGGCATGGGACCTTTAAGTATGATACTTCATTTGCCATTATTAATCACTTCTGATTTTATTTATTATTTGCATCCATTTCTAATGTTTTTTTTATATCTTTGTAAAATACTTTGTAACCAATTTTTTAAAAGTGCTTTTTAAATTATTTTATTATATTTTGAATCTTTGTTCCTGTCTAGGATCCAGCCGCTGTCTGAGGCTTTAAACGACCTCTACACGGAGTTCAATGCCCTCAAAGCTCACCTGGGCGACCTGACCGAGAAGTTCAGCGCCATTGAAACCTTCATTGACGAGGTCAAGGAAAGCCGCACCACCAACACCAACGCTGATGCAGGCTCCACCCCCAGCGGGGGCATCGTCCCCGTCGTCCCCGTCGTCAGGCAGGGCGGGAGGAGGGTGATAAAGAAAAAGCCAACGACTTCCTAAACAGCCAAAATGATGTTTGTTTCTTCTTCTCAGGCTTTCTTATCTCTGTGTCCTGATCCTCCTTTGATGTCATTGTTATCACATGTTATATATCGTACCAAGGCACTCCCAGTTTAAAAACTCTGGATATATTAAGTTGAACTTGGCATGTTGCCGAGATCAACTTAATATTCGTTTTTTGATATATTGCGATATTTTCTCTAAATACATATTGTTTTTCTGTTATGCATTTTTAATTACCTGTACACAAAGTGGTACAATTCACAATTGGTTTAAAAACATATATTTGGTCCTTCCATTAAATAGGAAAAAGATCTTAGTTTGTGTGCATGAAATTGACATTTAGGATGCATTTTGGGTTACATTACATTGGATGCATTGCATTGTGGGATTATGAGAAGAAAACTGTCCATGCCATGATCACATTGTAGATTCTTTATCCACCGCCGGCGGGGGTTACGGGGCTTAACGGGCTTTTTTTACGAAACTGTGTCTCAAGGCTTCTTAAAATGTAATAAACTATGAATGTGTCATACTCACTTAACGGGAAGAAACTAAGCTAACTGACTATATGATCAATTTTTACCGAAACATAACACAAGTCTCACAAGAAGCGTGTAAATGAGCCACTTAGCACAGAACTCTAGGTATAAATCGATCGATATACTTATCGGATCTGCACAAACAAGCTTTGCTAGAAAGCTGAGATTCCACAGGTTCTAGAAATATAAGTATCATCACTGAGCGATCAGAACTCGCAACAGGGGAAGCAAAACCAGACAGCACGACGTAGCTTTAGGTAGCAAAACACGGAGATATGCTCACCTTTTGCTGTTACTCTGATCAAAAGTTGTGTTTATTGGCATTAAAACGAGATAAACGGGGCTGAAGCTTAATCCATAGGTTAATCCAATGTGTCTGTCACTTTGCAAACATTATTGATAATCCATAATTCCATTTGTATGTCAAAAACTGAGTTTTCATATTAGCTGCTAATGATAGCTTCCAGAGTGTATGACAGCTTCCTGTTTTGGTTACGCATCACTCTCACTCCTTATTTGGTAACATGTGTGTGTATGTGGAACTTCCCCTCAATTCCATTGGCTCTAACGGTTAAAAAGAGATGTCAATCATCAAAATCAACCAAGGGGGGCCAGAGATAGGTCAAATCCACCCAAATGACCCCAGAAGTGTTTTTTTGTGCTAAATCTCTCTAAAAAGGTATAAAATGTCCCTTGTTTTGCATCAATCTTGATACAGGTATACTTATTATATGTTATAGTTTGGATTCCTAAAGCTTTTAGTCTACTATCCCATCATTCAAGGGTGGTTTTCACTATAAGTAATGTTCTTTGTTTACTATGTGCAATCTGAATTTACTTTAAAATAAAAAAATCTATATTGATTCTGACTCTTCTACATCCAACTCACAGGTTTATCATTGCTTTGAGAAAAAAGATTATTCATTTACCCCTTTTAGAAGTGTGGTTATGGTTATTTGTTCTGGGAATGTTATTTTCGAGCCTGAGATCTGGAAAACAGGCTCGAGGCTTAACAGGTTAAAGGCACTATAATTAATCATTTTCAAATCCTGCCATTCAAATAAAGTAGCAGTAACAACATGGCAGAGATTTGAAACACAGATACTGTTTTCAGTTTCCTCATGAAATAATTGCTCTTTTCTAGAACTCAACAAACATTTTTGAGGGATTTGATTTGACAGATTTCCTGGTTGTGGGTTTATATAAGTGCCTAGTTTGTTGTGTTTATTCTGGATATTTTTCGGACAAACAAGCTTGTTGGTTTGGATTTACTGTTGTATTATATGAGCTCTGTAATAAACTCACTTATTGCATTCATTCATTATTTAGTGGGAATGCTGATACAGCATTCCAACTATCTGTTATGCTACGCACAAAATTATTTATTATTCCGCCGGGTTATTTTGCACCTCTTCTTCTCCCACATTCCACATCGCAGAAACTCAGTTCGAACATCAAAACGTTCAGCTCGGTCGGGAATCGATGGCTATTACTTTTCTTATTCATAACTAACATAATTCCAGAGATACATCCCATAATTCATCACATTTTTAACATGGAAGTCAATGGAGAAACTCTTCAGACTTGAACAATCTTCATGCAACTTCAACTGCTAACTGCTCCTTCATACTTTGACTCAGAAACCTCATTCCAACTTTAAAATGTTACACATCTTTCTGACATTATCCGTGTAACACAACTTTTAAATCTGATTCGTACCTCTAGAGATATTAAACATTGTTCAGCCTTGGCAGGGGCGGATCTAGACAAATATTCATGGGATGGCAAGAGGGGGAGATTTTGAGGGGTGGCATCCCCTGGCAGAAGTATATGCTGATTTAATTGCAGTCATATCAATCAATTTTAACTTGGCAAGCCACAATATTAATATTTTAACTGAATAACATTAGGTGACATTATTGTGGCACATCAGTAAAGCCTTAAATATAAATATACAAGGTGGCAGACATCATTTAATGCATTTTAACTGCACAATAACTGAATGAGTTTGTTTCACTCCAGCAGGGGTACCAATCTATGCAGACTGCTGCAATAAGTACATTAATTAACTGTCTCATTGATATTTGTCTGAATGAATATGATACTATTAACAATTATATTAATCCAGCTGTCAATCACTGTTATAATTCACATATTCATTTATTATTGAATATACTATATTTTTTGGAGTTAATGATGAATTTTCCTCAAGATGCTTGCTCACCCTCTTTCAAATTTGAAAGACAAGTAATTATATAATGTATCAACATTCAAAAGATTAAAAGGAACAGTTCAGTGCCCCACGGCTTTACTGCAAACAGTTACAACCTTGACTTTACATCAGAAAGAACAAACATTAAAGAAGTGACTAACTGCATCAGTTAGCCCCACCTAGTGTCAGCAGAAAGTATTAAAAATAATGATTACAAAAAAATGCAAAAAATAAATTAAAAAATATATTAAATATATTTTAAGATCATGTTTAATCATCTGATTCGTCTGTACATTGCTGTTTTAGTCTGTGTTCTTCTAATTAGTGTCTACAGTGTGTGCCTATTGAGCTGTTTAGAGCCATGTGGCACAAAACCCGATCCTGCCCCTCCCTCTTACTGTCTAAGTCAATGGTGACTGTAAAAACTACACTGCGCATGCTCAGAATATTTTCCTATTTAATGTGTGTGGCAAAAAAATAATGCCCATAGGGGCATAGAGCTGCCATCCCCACCATACGTCATCTCACATAATTCAGAGCTGATTGGCTGTAAGTACGTGTACCGCGAAAAGTGTGGTGTGTGAAGAGGAGACGAGAGAGCTGCAGTGATGCGTCCTAAAACCCAGAAGTAAGATGCGCATGGCTTCCCTCTACAAAAAAGCAATGAGATTTCTCCATAGGATTTTAGAAAATAGCTCCAAATAAGGTCTGTGGGAAACGTAGCTGTTAGATAAATGCACGTTTTGTTCAGCCGGATAATATCCACATGTCTACCCTACTTTTATCATTTTCGAATCATAAATCTATTGATTAGATTAGATTTATGATAGACTTTTGAAACTACAAGAACATAAGGAGGACTTTTACAAAAAAGTAATAGAGATTTTTGTCCAGAAGGATAGGCAAATGGAGTTCATCTTCAAGTCAAGGTAAGACTGCAATTTTATTGAAAATGGGATCTTACTAAGAGAGAACAATTCAATATTTAAATTATAAAATTACATTTTTTGGGTATCCTTCTGTTGAACTGTCTGTTTAAAATTAATTGAAGCATCAGACAAAAAAAGCTTTTGAAAATAATATTATATTTTGATTTAGGTCAAAATATAATATTTGTAAACCTGAAGAGTCAGTGACAGTGCCTCACCAGCCATGAACCTCACTGCAGAAGCTTATAGACATCTACGTTTTTTGTGCCCCACCACTTTTGTACATATAAAAACGCCACTGCACACATACATCATCTTAACAGTTTTTTTATGCTCAACGAGTCATCCGTGAGCAGAGCATCAAGTTGGCATGCCTATTACAGCTGAATGCGGCTATTACCATCTTGTTCAGCAAAACGCCTCACAAACTTATTAAGATCAACAGCTTTAGTGCGTTTTGATTCAATGCTGAGTACAGCCAAACTTGTCATTGTAGACCGCAAATACCTAATTCCTTCCGTCTACTTGAGACCGAATGCATCTCGTTTTGCGCCGTCCCCCCGTTCAAATGAAATCGCCGCCAATCATATTTCCAAGCTCGCGCCAGGGCCGGGGGAGGGGTTACAAGACTCGCGTCTTGTGCTGCATTCACTTGCACTGGGATATTAGAGATTTTCTCTCATAAATGTCCGATGAGCCACAAGTTTTCTTTCAAAACAAAGATGCCAACTGGGGTGGCAAGGCTATTTTTTTTTGGTGGCAACAGTTGCCACCCTCGTGCCACCCCGGTAGATCCGCCCCTGAGCCTTGGTAAAGAGGCCTTCTTCAGATTTTAGAGTGTGTGATGTCACAGCTAGAGTGAAGGACAGATTTAATTTTGCCTTCATATTTTCTTTTAAACCTGCCATAATTCCCAGACCCTACATTCCTGAGACATACTTTTTCATGAGAAACGTAGGAAAACATCTCGTAGCTTGAAAAATAAAAAATAATTAAGCAAAATAATTAAACAAAATGCCTCTTGAGGACATGAAGTGACAACAACTTTCAACATGTCTCCATTAAACCCCATTGTAAGTACAGCCTCATCTTTCCCCACCACAGCAGCCACACACCTTTAGTTAATCTGCCAAAAAGGCCACATTATTAACCCGAAAGTACACAAAAAGTACACTTCAGATGCTCAAGTTCCTTGACATGCTTCACGCTTTGAAATTTCACCGATATCTGTTACGATTCTTCAACAAAACGTTCACATGTAAGAGGTTTATCTCTCATTCAGAACAATGAAAATGCTCTCCTCTCACTGATTACTGCACCATCACCATGGAAACCTTTGATGTCTGGACACGTCATTAGCTCAAATATAAACACCTGTGTCATGGAACACCATAACTACAACTGACATGCTCAGAGCAGCAGACTTCAGATAATGGTTAACACAGCTCTACATCAAATCTGATGTTATGTAATTTGGTGTTACTATGGCAACGCATCCCTCGTCATAAAACAGCAGCAGACTTCAGATAATGGTTAAAGGTCCTGCCCTCAACAGCTCTACGTCATCATATGCTGTTTCCATGGAAACGCATTCCTCGCCATAAAACACGATGTCACTGTACAGTAACTCCAATGGACACGGTCCGATCGTCCCCCAAGCTTTGCTTGTATATCACCGGCCCATGCCTCAACAGCTCAACGCCAAATCTGAGATCTCACCATAGGCTGTTGCCATGGAAACGCATCCCTCGCCATAAAACACGATGTTGTCGTGATACCTATGCAAATGTTCTAAAACAGCACCAGACTTCAGATAATGGTTAATGGTCCGGCCCTCAACAGCTCTATGTCAATTATGGGGTGTCATCATATGCCGTTTCCATGGAAACACATCCCTCGCCATGAAACACAATGTCGCTGTAACTCCAATGGACACGGTCCGATCGTCCCCAAACTTCGCTTATATATCACCGGTCCATGCCTCAACAGCTCTATGCCAAATCCGAGATCTCACCATAGGCTGTTTCCATGGAAACGCATCCCTCGCCAAAAAACACGATGTTGTCGTAACTGATATGAAAATGGTCAAAACACCA